AAAACAAGAAATCAAACAAACTCATAATTACCTAGAGAGTTTTTTTTGGGCTGGCAAAATTTGTTTTTTTGGAACCCACATGCACATACGACAAGGAGATCGCCATGTGCTGACATGGGCAAATTTCAAAAGCTCCATGCATTTCAACAAAAAATAGTACTAGATGGAAGAAAGGTTGAAATACATGAACTTGTAACTCTACTCGTACCAGATAGAAGACTTTTCTGCCATTAGGCAATGTCACTCTATTTATTACTTCACACATTTACCCGTTTGTATGTGTTATTTAAATTTTAAAGTATTTATATTTAACCGGAATAAAGTTAGACCCCTTTTAAATTTTCAAAAGAGTAAATGAGTTTTTCTTAATTTCAATTAAACATTTTGAAAGTGACTTATGTGAAATCAGAGTGGTACCGTGGTGTAAAATTAAAATAGAAATGTGGATTCTAAATTTTTAAATAAATAAAGAACATAATAATAAAGTAATTTATCGAATAAATAATTAATGAATTTTTTTTACTATTACTACAATGGTAAAGAAATATCTTATTATATATGTATATCTTTTTTAGCTTACTGGCGTCACTAGCTCATAATAAAAAACGTTAGATATTATCAAAGTGTTATATAATATATAATGTGAATGATAAAAATATAAAGGATTAAGATCAAAACAAAGATAAATTTAAAAGGCCAAAGACTATATTAATATTTTTTGTTTAGGTACAGATATTCTCTTATTAAAAATATTGAAAATGATCTTGTTTAAAATACTATCAGATACTAAATATAGACACATCTCTTAATAAGAATTTGAACCTTGCACATTATGAAATACTAGCTGTTTCTACCAATTAATCTTTTCTCAACTAAAAAGGTGCTGGAATATCCCCATAAATATTTTTTAAAAATATATTTTCATACTATAGATATTTATTTTGTATAAAGTAAAATTACTTCTAAAAATTATAAAAATTATAGTTTGATTTCTTCTAACTACCCAGTAACAATACACCCGTGCGTAACAAAGCGAAGCCCGTGGTTCCCATCTTGCGACGACGGCCCACTTCAATAGGAGCCTCCTGCTGCCTGAAACCCTTTCACCGGCCGGTAACGAGAGGTCGGAGACGGAATACGCGTCTGTCTCTGGAGGTAGAGACAGAGGGGGAAGGAAAATCAAGGAAATCTCAGCTCTTGATGATGATCCGATCATGTATTGATTGCCGGGTTAGTTCTCCTCTTACTTCTTCTTCGGATTTGGTTGTTTCAATCTTAGACGATAAGGACGCTGATTTTTCCAAGACCTAGTTTTTAGACTTTGGTTCATGTAATTGGCCATAATCTCAATTATGAAATTTATGAGATATTCATGTATGCAAATGTGAAAATCATGTATCTTTTGTTTAATATGGTGAAGCTCAAGTGTTTTACAAGTAAATTTTGGCCCGAGAAGGCAGACTATTCACTTCTCTAATGCCGATGGTGGCATTGACTGCGTTAGCGACCCTTGGGCTAGTGGATTGGGTATTCAAAATGAGTATGGAGTCGTAGTTCATCCCCTTCACAAACGGGAGCTCAGCTCGGGCATAATTTTGATTTACCAGTCAATTAGAATGATGGGGTGCATGTAGATTAGTATATATAATGTAACAAGTTGTTCCTCGAACTTATTTTTTTGGGAGTATAATGTTCATAAGTTTATTGAGATTTTTATTTAGGCTTTTCTGAATTAGCAAGACAACAATCTGTAAGTAAATTCAATTTTATTTGGTACTTCAAATTTTTATACACGTTTTCAGACACAATTAGATTGTTCAGATGTACCAAAGGCCACCTTAAGGCTAAAGCTTTCCCTCTACGGTAGGTGGTATGAATAAATTAAAATTTTTGCATTAATGGTCTGATTCATATTTCATCGCTGATCTTTTGGGTTTGTGTCAACACCCCCGTAGTTGTTGTGTAAATGGCCTACTGCATGTGGGACTTGCCCTTTACTATTTGTCATATGACCGTCTTAATTGATGCTCACTAGTATAAATAATTTAATGATTTTTTTCTTTTTCTTTTTTTTTCTTGCAGTTTTAGTAATGAGCAGCAGATTTTGCCTTTGGGAAGATGCTTGGATTCTCCGCCGTTGATGGTTTTATGGAGACAAGTGAATGCTTGGCTGAGATGATCAAATACTTGGCTAACGAACCCTCTGTTGGGCTGTTCTTCATCCAACAGCATACTCAAAAAGCAGTGCCTAATGTGACAACACATAAGAAATCCGTTGTTGAGAAGGCTCGTGAAACAAGTTTGCATGCAGAAGATTTGGAGGACTCTATTACAATGATGAGATCAATGAAAGAGTGTGGATTTCCCATAGTTGAAGAGATGATCCGAGACGTTAAAAAATCTCTGGTAACTGTGACAACTAAAAAACCTAAAAGAGGTTTAATTAATCAGTTGAGCTCAACTAACCTTGGAGAAAGAATGGTATCTTGGGGTAGCCCTGTACTTGATTCCCAAGAAGCCCGTGAGAAAAGTGGTTACAATTTTTCAAGTGTTTTTACGACAGCAAAACAAAAGTCTAGAAATCTCTTGCGGCCACAACTTGATGATAGGAGATCAGTGAATTCAAAGCTATCAGACGCATCTACAAGCACAGCTTCGGCTCTGCAAAGTATGGAAACAGACGAGATTCCCTTGTCAACCACGGTTGAAGATGAATCTCAACAACATGAACAGACTGACGATAAGCTACTCCAAGTATCTGAAAAGTACAATGACTTCAAAGCTATCAAAGAAGCTCAGCTACAGAAGTGGCTGGAAGGGACTGGCAACCATGATGATAATGGCCAAGCAGATGATGCAGAAAAGCTTTAGCTTGGATGCAGAACACTGGAATACAAAACTTCAACTTGTACATACAGTTCTTGAGATTATAAGGTTAATCACTCAAGATGCAGCAATCCTCCTGCGGAAACTTGAATGTCGATTTCTGATAAAGCCCAATGCCCCTACTCACCCACAGCAGGGGTAGAAAGAGGGCTAGGATTGAAGGCAACAGTGGGGAATTGGGAAACAATTTATGAGGAAGTTAGAGTATTGGGGTGGTTAGTGGTAGTTTGTTGCGGTTATTATGGTATTATATGAGCAGTTACTATACTGTAATGCAGTTATTAGCATGGCAGTTGCATTGGATGTATCTTTTCTATATGGTACCAGTATGATGCATGTCGAATTCAGTCATGTGATTTACCTTTGTATTTGGAGATTCTTCTTGGTTTATTGAAGCAATCAGTGTTTTCAAAATTTGGCATTATTTTGTTTAATACTATTTATAAGATCTCTTTTGTAGTCTACAAACAAAGTCTTATAGTTAGGACAAGGGGTAATAAAAATTTAAATTTTGCCATCAGTATCATTGCCAGCGGTATTTGGTAGTTATTCTGGCACTTCAAAATAGCTTTTAGGGAGAGTTACAAGGAGATCATGGAGGGATCATATATAGAGGGCTTGTTTGGATGATATCCAAAACAATGGTTTGGAAGACAAAACCATGGTTTGGATAAAATGTTATCCAAACAGACTCTAATATTTTGAACCCATGGTTCCAGGTGAAACCATGGTTTTAACCTCTAAAACCATGGTTCTGTGGAAAGCAAAATTTTCTTGCTTCTGATGCTGAAGTTTTCGCTGTTGGGTTGTCAAAAATTATCTGGATAAAAAATGTCCCTTGACTCGCTTGTGTTGCTGGCGTGGAGGAATGGTCTACGGTCACTTGTTCCAGACGTAGCAAGAGAGCGAGCCTGAAAGAATCATAAAGAGGAAAAGATAATTACTATAATAAGTAATAAATTGTTTTAATGTGTGCTTATTTAATTTTGTCGAAAAATATCATGGTATTTCATATTTATAATCTTTAAAATAAAATAATATTTTTCTGTTGGTAAAAAATATTTATTTTTTCCAGAAACATTTTTAATCTTATATTTTATAAATATATATATGTTAATTATTTATTAATTACATTTTCTTATATACTATTATGTTGGTAAAAAAATATATTATTAACAATTTTGTTCCTTCAAATTAAAATATATTATGAATTATAAAATCTATATTTTATGTAATTATCATATTAACTTATATCCTTTTTAGTAATTTGTACATATAAAAAGTGCTTTTGATAATAACTATCCAAATACTCTCACTTCTCAGAATCACTTTTCACAAAATCTATTCTTCACAAAATTTATTCTCCTCAGAATCTATTCTTTAGAAGCTATTCTCCAAACCATGGTTTGGTTTCATCCAAACACCCCCAGAAGTAGGGAAATAGGGCATCCGGCTGTGCTCAATGTGACAGCGTTTTAATGTTTTGTGCAAAAGATTCCTTCCTCTTCCTTGATGCAGTCTAGTCCAGCAGCTCTTTTTAATATTGGTCTCCCACTTCAGCTATGAGAGAGGACGATATCAGGTGCATTCCTCTTGTTGCAGTGGGAGCTGCCTATCTAGCGGGTTGAGTTTTTGCGTTCACCCTGTGATGAAATGTAAAGCGTCTAACTTGAATTTATAAATCCATTTTTTGACAGAGTGTAAATTAAAAAATTATCTTAATTTATAAATTTACATCTTTTTTGCTTTGATTTTATATAATTAAATATATGCACGCGCACATACTTTTCTTATGGCAGTTGCATTTCATAACTTCCAAAGATAAGAACAATATGATATAACAGGCTTTAATTTTGGGATTTACCTTTGTATTTGGAGATCCTCCATGGTCTACTGGGGTAATTAGTTTTTTCAGATTTTAGCATTATTTTGGGAAATAGAATTTCTCTCTCTATCCCTTTTTAAACCCCACAACCTATCAATTTTCAGCCAATTAAATAATTATTTTTTATTATTAATAAAACACGAACCAAAATAAGTTACTTAAACGCCAACAGTCAACGAAAGAATTTTCGAAGATTGATGTGGGCATTATTAAAGAGAAAAAAAAGACAAGTGATTTAGCTGTTGAAGCAATTAACATGAAAAAGGATAAAGTAACTTGATCAATGACACGAAATATACATTCGACTTTCAAGAATTTCACTGGATACAATTACAAAGCTTGGTCACATCTCATACATTATGAAATTCTCGTTTGCGACTAAAGGCATCGAAATCACAATAACTCCAGTAGGCACATACTTAAGCTGCATCATTCAAGAACAGCGATGTCACAACTTGAGATTAATACCCTCCTCAATCATCCTCAACTTCAAAATAAATAATATTTCCTTGAGAATTCCAGAATATTTCTCCCTCTCTTCCGTCTTAAAGTTGCACTGTGCAAGCATCGACACGAGCTCTCTTGATTTGCAAGAGGAATAAGCACCAAGAAACCAATCACTGGTGCTTTATTCACAAGTTAAGCTCTTGGGTAGCCATCAAAACCCCACTACTGGCACCTCAGGATGGCAGTCGTGGAGAACAAGACAATTGACAAAGTTTCTGTTCAGAGTTCATGATATGGCATCCATCACTGGGACAGCATCAAAGAATGGCACCAAAATATTAAACAAACAACGAATCCACCTATAATTTATCCATCGAAAACACCAAGAATATTTGAGCCAAAGATGTAAGCATGTTACAGAGTGACGGCTACATCAGGGATGAAATATGGACTACGGGCAACACCCACTGTCATTTTGACAAAAGATTGTGCCAACTGCCAACTACCAAGGTCCTGGAACATTGCCATCGATGTCTTGGTCCTAAATCCAGGATAATAATAACTTCATTTATACAACCCAAAGAAATTAAAACTCACTTGTAGCTCATATGACATCCCACAACCCCTTCAATGGAGCAGGTTGTGGGATCGAATCCCCCCAAGTGGTATGGGGGTAGGTGGGCGTGTGTGGAATGGGGGAGGGCTAGAACAGATTAAAAAAACTTACTATACAAAAATTAAATGTTAAAAACATTGAATATCTTACTAAGGACACAACGAAATAATGACATATAAGGGTACCTGAAAGACCTGAAAGAAGTGCAAATTAATAATTGAACTGTATGATCAAAATAGAAGACCGTTTTGATATAGCAGGAAGTTTAGGGGTTTCCTATTGCGTTATTTGGATTTGTGGTGAGACAGGATAGCTTATTGCAGGTTGATGTGTGGTTTTTCCTACTTCCTTCGCGAGGAGGAGGATATCTTATCCTCTTCCTTTCTCAGAAAATTCTCTTTCCTCAATAAAATTTCTTCTTGCATGAAAAAGAAATGCTATATAGCGATTCTATATATTGAGAGGCAAGTTCTCTCCCAAGCATCACACAATAGGCTACCTTCCTCCCACACAGATGGAACCGTACCATCATTCTCTAAACTTCCTTCTTTCTCTGCTAACAACCAAAATGTTTGCACCCTCAATTATCCTATCTTGCCTGAGCTGGATTAATTTCACCCATTCCCAAATCCTTTCTACCTATCCAAATATAAGTCCTAATGGGCCCAGGCAGAAAGTAAATTAACATCCAGTTTCCAGCTAACCACAGCTTATACAGTTCACAGTCAAGAAAGGGTTGCATTCTTCAAACAAAATGAGGTTATATCTTAACTGAATACACTCCTCTCACTGACTAAATGCTGCGGGCTCTGGTTAAAATGTTGAACCGCATCCAAGGACCAACTGACCTAGATTATTGTACGTGCTACTTGATACGAAGATTGTTTATGTAAAGGCAAAAGCTCAGTGCATATTTGCATTTCCTATTGAATGGCATAGTGATAGCTTCTTGTAAAACCTAAAATAAAATAAATATGTAAGGCACAAAATTCTCTCAAAATTCAGAGTTGTTGGCTAACTCTCACCTCTTAGCCATGGAAGAAAAGCCATTCATTCACTGCTTTGACGCTTCAGTAGGATTTTTCCCTAGAAAGAATTATATTATAAATTAGCACCATATTCCATCCTGGCAAACTGCATCATCGGAGGACAAATTTTAAATACAATAACAAATATAAATACATGCATAGTTAACTCATACTAATTCCTGTTATTATTTATTTTTTCTTAACTCAACAAGCTGCTACTACTGGAAAATAGAAATACATGCATATGCCCAGATCTAAAAGTGAGAAGATCTAACTGCAACAAGTAGGAATAACAAGCTGACAGAAAAATAATGGAAATAATCATACTGAAAAAGCATATTTGCTAAGGGTAACAAAGTTATAAAAGAAGACAGTATTTAGGAGAATGTTTCTTTTCCAGTAAAAAAACAATACCTGCACCAAGCACATCAGGGAGATTTTGATCCATTATGCTAACCTCTCTTGATACTTTGTCACCCCCCAAATTTGTGCTAGAAGGAGGTACAGACCCATGACTTTTGTGTACCACTTTTGCCTTTCTGTGTTGACAGAGATAATGGGATACAAAGTTAAAATTTCATATCACTTAGAAGCACAATATTTTATATGCGCAGAAATATTGATCCCATTTCATCTCATACCTGATCATCTTTCGCTTCATAATACCAGCTTTCAGCTTAGACATCCCTGTTGCACATCATGAAAAATACTGATCAAGTCCTCTAACGGTTAGGCATTTCAGATGACAAAGTATAAAGAGAAAGTAAGAAAACAAGTAGTTATAGTATAGCTTACCTGGTTTAAGAGCTGCGGAGGTTGAAATAGACTTTGGAATAGGCTTGCGATTGCCCCTCTCAGCTTTAATTGAAGCAATGACAGAATCAGCAGTAGGTCCCAGCCCTTTTCTCCCCACCAGCTTTACTCCCAGCTTTTCACAAAGGTAATTCATTCTCATCTCATCACCACCTCTTACCTCTCTTAGCTGAAGAACCTGTTGTCTTGATAGCATAGTGTAAACATGAAGCTGCTGCTGCTGATTAAAATGAGACTGAAGCTGCTGGAAAAGTAACTTGTTCGAGTGTTGCTGATCTTGTTTTGAAAGGTCATGAGTCTTCTTCCTAGGCTCACCAAATGTCACCCTCAAAATTGCTGGAGCTTTGGGATCTGAATTTTTCTGGGAAAAAATGACTGAAAAGCTCCCAAATTCTATATCAGGTTCTCTAAATAAATCTGTAAGAAGGGAAGCACAAGAATGAGCATTTGAAGGAGTCCTATCAACCTTTATTCTAAGGGACCGAACATTAGCATAGTGGGCCATGTTTGCAGCTTCTCTTAGACCACTAAGAAAAGCCCCATGCATAGTAGCAGGATACCGTCTTGTGGTAGCCTCTCCAGCAAAGAATAGTCTTCCATCTCCCACGCTTTCTGCTAGAATATCATAGTCATCTCCTGAAGCTCCAACGGCAACATTCGAATAAGAACCAAAGCAGAATGGATCACTACCCCATCTGGTACAGACAGTCTGAATAGGTTCAGGGACATTGATTCCTTTTGGTTCATAGATACCTGAACACATCTAAAGCTGTTAGTTTCATGAAATATTTATTATACCATTTAGGCAGTGCACATATAGTAATTACCCTTGAGAATTTGAAGCACTCGGGTAACTGCATCTGTAGGAGGCATGCTCTCAAAACTTATGGGCAGCTTCCCCTGCTACCAGTGCAATCAACAAGGGTCCACCAGCAACTGTTGCATAGCTGTAAAACAGAAAGAACTCTCCACGACGACTTGGGTCATCAAAAAGGCGGCCAAATGTATCCAGATCTGTCTCCCAAAACACATGAGGAAAGAGCATGGCGACTTTGTTAAGCAGACCAAAACCTAATCTTTTTATTCCATCAAGCTTTCTCTGAGGCAACTCAGGAATAAATTTGATAGAACCTTTCTTTAATACACCTAAAGGGACTGTGCACAATGCCATATCACCCTCAAAGACCTGATTTCCTGTAATAACTTGAACTCCATCACTACCGTATCTAACAGTCTGTACAGTTTTCTCATATAAAATAGGCACATTCTCAGCTAGAACTTGAACCAGCCTCACATTTCCTCCAGGCAAGAAGCAGTGGTCCCCACCCATATCATATGGATCGTCTTGGTCCCAAAATGCTAGTGACAGATTTGATAGCAGACCAGCATTAGCATATTCCAAATTTGCAAGATGCCAATTGAACAAGTTCATCTCCTCATCATTCACTGCATCCCCATAAACCTGTCTGAATGTTTCCAGTGCAGCACCAAGGGACACATCAACAGAGACATCACCCATCAACTCTCTAAGCCTGCTTGCCTTATCTAGTAATCGATTAAAAGCAGTTTCTACCTTCATATCCATGTCCGGGTCAACTGGCTTTCCATCCACGCTATAAAGAGGACACTTATCTCTAACCTTGTGAAGCGTATAACCTAATTGCCTAGCCACAATTCCAAGAGGATTCCCATGAGTACCCGTTAAAACACTACCACCTAATTCTGCAGCCGCGGACACCCTATTCCCTCCCTCCATTTTCTTTGTATAAACCCGCCCACCTGCACGCTTCCTACCTTCCAAAACTGTCACTTTGAACCCAAAGCGCATTAGTTGCCGTGCAGCAGCCAACCCTGCAAGGCCAGCACCAATAATAATAACGCTAGGTTTACTGGGTTCAGCTGGAATTTTCTCTTTTATGGCGGGAGCAACTCCAAAGTTGATATATCCACGGGAGACCAAATAATTATACGCCGAGTCCAAAAGGGTGTGATAGTGTTGAGGTATATAATCAACAAACATTTCCTTAGTGACCCAATTCGTCACGTTTTCACGCCATTTAGCAATAATGTGGTTTCTAATGAGAGTGTAATTAACTTGTTCGATTCCTCCGATGACGGGGAGAACACCAGCTTCAATTTCCTCCTCAGTAAGTGAATCGGCAGGAAAACCAGCACTGAGAGCAATCAAGGCCTCAGCTTTGGGTTCTTTGTTTATCACAATAATCTCATCAGATACATCGGGGACAGGTCTTATACCCGATGGATTACTGACTGAAACTGAGGTGGCAGAAGAAGAACCGTAGGGGGAGAGATCATTGTTATTACCGTTCATAGCTCCATTGAAAACTACAGGAACACGAAAGGACGCGGGACTCCGTTGGGGCCTGCCACGCCTTCTCTTCTTGGGGACCGAGAAAGAAAGATAGTGATTGGAGCTAGGGTTAGGGTTTTCAACCAAATTTGTGACCGATTTAGCGTTAGGGTCGGGGAACACATTATGGTCTTGCTGGGGAGGGCAGGGAACAAAATGCGGAGGAGGAAATGAAGAGAGTTGTTCTGGAAATTGGATCTGGGGATCCATGTGGGTGCAGGTTTCACTGTGATTTCGGCGAAGATAGGACGTAGAATAGAATTTAAACGACCATGGTTATATAGCTTGCGAAACTCGGCCGAAAACGCACGCCCGCGAGCCTCCTTCGCCGTGCCATCATCGTCGTTTGCTCAGGAGTCTCAAGGCTTCGTCGGATGACACGGAGGGGAGAGATTCTTTGTGAGCAAAATTTTCAATTTTTTTTTCCGTCATGTAATTTCTAAGGAAGATTTTAAGTTATTATCTTGCCAATTTAGACCATATTCACGTGGTTAGATTATGAGGGCATAACAAAATAAGGAAGCAACTGGTCCAAAAAAAAGAAAGGGAAGAAAGAACAAAGTTTTACTAATTTAACAAATTAACAAATGTAAAAATCAAACAAATTTTGATACGGCAAAAAAAAAGGATCAAATTTTTAGAACACTCTTTTTTGTTTTTAGTTAACTTAATTAACAGAACAAAATCACCTCCAATTAACCCAGAATTTAAGCCCTTTTGACTTTTTGGGCCCTTTGACTTTTTGGCCTAAGATGGTTCGTCATATGTTCATTACTTTTTTGGATGGAAAAAAATATTCTTTTGTCATTATATATTTTTTAATTTATTGGCTCACTGTTGGGGAGAACAATTCAATCTTTTTCTTCCGATATACAAAGGAAAAAAAAAAAAGAACAATTCAATCTTTAGTTATTATGCTAGTAATTTTTTTGGCTCATTATCACTTAATTCCTATTCTTCTTTGACTCAATAAACACTGTTTATACCAAATTGTAAAGTCTTACAATTTTTTTAATTGATAAACGGTACAATGAATCTAGTTCTGCAGATTCAAATGGTCAAAACACGGAAAAAAGTTCCCAGTTTCAAATTCAAATACGTAATATTTTTCCCATGACTTGATTTTGATCCAAACCGCTCTGTGACTTATTAGTACTATCAATGTCGCACCGCAAAAGCAGTTTATATAGCAGCGGATGCTCCGTTGGGTAGCGTCGTCGCAACATTTGATTTTGGTAAATATTCCATTCCACCACTCGTGATTCGGGACCGCTTCCCGAGGGAACGAACGTCTTGTTCACAGTAATTCCATCCCAAAAAGTACACAAGAAGGCCCACTTTTCCTCCCTATCTTTCCCATGACCTCCTCTGCGCGCCTCAGGCGACTCGGCTCGGCCGTCGGAGCCGCCGTTGCTACCGCCTACGGTGGCTCGATTCTTCTTCATCCTCCGATCTCTGCCAGTGATCATGGAGGTGGCCCTGCTCAGCTTGCCGCCATTCGGCAGAAGATCTATGACCCCTACGCCGTTGTTCCCTCCAGAGACGTCCAGCAATCGGCCTTGATCGGTGCCAGCTCGGCCAATCCTCTGGACATACTTGTTATTGGTGGTGGCGCCACCGGTAGTGGTGTGGCACTCGACGCTGTGACCCGAGGACTCCGGGTTGGTCTCGTTGAAAGAGAGGATTTTTCTTCTGGAACTTCTTCCCGCTCCACGAAGCTCATTCATGGAGGTACAGATGTTCGGACGTGTTTTTGTGTATATTGCAGAATCGTAGGCGATAAAACTTTGGTCAACACTTTGTGGTAATGGATGCTTAATTAAAGGAGTAAATTCAACGCTTGGATTTTTTTTTTTTTGAAGCATTGGTTCTTTGAAAGTCTAACGAAATTTAAGCACCTATTTTATTCTGAATCAAGTTGCCTGCGAATTTTCTTTTGCATGAATGCTCATTCCAGTAAGTCGATTTAGTCATGCATTCTGGATGTCCTTTTTTGAGCATTTTGTTTGCACGATCTACACTGATCTCACTTTCTAGAAGAAAGTTGTGGTAGAACTACAATCATTGATAAATGATAACTTATGACATGTGGTTAATAAAATTAATATCTATAAAAGGAGAAGTCAGAGAAGGTCAGTGGTTCTTGTGATTTTGAAGCTTGAGGAATTGATTTAAAAATCAAGTTAAACCCATGAGAATCAGCACAACTATTATATAGGCTTGTTTGCATCTTCACGATTTAGATACCAATTGCCTGACAATTTCCTTTATGCATGGGCTTTTTCTTCATGTTATTTCCCCCGTCTCATTCCAAATAGTTGTTGTTCTAATCTTTCATTGTTTCTGAAAACTATCAGGTGTCCGTTACTTGGAGAAAGCTGTCTTTAACCTTGACTATGGGCAACTGAAGTTAGTATTCCATGCACTTGAGGAGCGTAAACAGGTTATTGACAATGCACCACACCTATGCAATGCTTTGCCTTGCATGACACCATGTTTTGACTGGTTTGAGGTAGTGTACTACTGGATAGGATTGAAAATGTACGATTTGGTCGCAGGAGCACGACTCTTGCATTTATCAAGATATTATTCTGCAAAAGAGTCTGCTGAACTCTTCCCTACTCTAGCAAGGGAGGGGAAAGGTAGAAGCTTGAGGGGCACAGTAGTTTATTATGATGGGCAGATGAATGATTCAAGACTTAATGTTGGATTGGCTTGTACTGCTGCGTTAGCTGGTGCAGCAGTACTGAATCATGCAGAAGTTATCTCCTTTCTGAAGGATGATGTTGGTGAGCGAATAATTGGGGCACGAATCCGAGACAATCTATCTGGTAACTAACATCCCTTTACTTCAAATAGTTACTAGGGATTTGGGACATCTCTTATTTATATTATTGACAATTTGTCTATCCCAAATTCATTAAGATGACATGAGTGTGTTTGAGGGGAATATCGCTTATTTTAAAGGATGATCACTATGTGACATAAGCTCATGGCTATTCTATTGCACATTCACTTCTAACCTCCCTCCACATGCACATCCTCACTCCAGAAGCAATGAATTATATCAGTTGGCGAGACATAACAATTAGCTTTATTTTATTATTGAATATAGAATTGTAGAACTTTGCATCTCAGTTATTAAAAGCATTAGTTCTTACTTGAATGTTGTTTTTCTTTTATTTTATTTTATATTTGCTTAAGGTTCACTTGCTAAGAAATTATGCACTGTTGTCAGAGCAATTAATGTACTATATCTTGCAAATGGAAAGAGATATGTCTGTGTTGGGGGGGGGGGGGTTGCGGCCCGGGGAGGGTTATTGGGCAAAATGAACGGTTTTTTTTTTTTAAGTGGGTTTGTTAGACTGAGCACTCTGGACTTTGCGAGTGTTAATCTCAGAACTAGAATGTTTTATTGAAGCTTGGTTACTTTTGTTTATTTAAGATGTATTTCAAATTGTGTAGGCAAAGAGTTTGATACGTATGCAAAAGTAATTGTGAATGCGGCTGGGCCATTTTGTGACTCTGTAAGAAAATTAGCTGACAAGGATGCCAGAGCTATCATCTGTCCCAGCAGCGGTGTACATATTGTACTTCCTGATTATTATTCTCCTGAAGGAATGGGCTTAATTGTTCCTAAAACTAAGGATGGCCGTGTTGTTTTCATGCTACCATGGCTGGGAAGAACTGTGGCTGGAACCACAGATTCCAACACCCCCATTACATTACTTCCAGAACCACATGAAGATGAAATACAATTCATTTTGGATGCCATCTCTGATTACCTTAACGTTAAAGTATGGTATCCCTGTAACACAAAGTTTTTAAATTTCTTTTGTTCCTTTTTTTGTGTGCCTAATGTTAGATTTGGACTCATTGTCTAACATACATTTTTGGCTAACTATTTTTCATCATCATTGGTGGGAAAATGAAAATGTGTGTCTGATATTCATTGGCTCCATTCGTATAACAGAAGCACCCCCCTTTCTGGGTCATGAATTTTAAATTTTGATCACATTCAAGGAAGAAAATTTTAGTGAGGAACCATTCAATCTATGAGTCATTCCTTTTATAAACTTTTTTACGCAGCCTGCTTGTGTTTAGACTAAAAAATGGTGGGAAAATTTAGGTAAGACGCACAGATGTTCTTTCTGCTTGGAGTGGAATTCGCCCATTAGCAACGGATCCATCAGCAAAAAATACCGAGAGTATCTCCAGGGATCATGTTGTTTGTGAGGATTATCCTGGTTTGGTCACTATAACTGGTGGAAAGTGGACCACCTATCGCAGGTAAATATTGAATGGGCTGAGCTGACATATCTTTGTTGAACATTTGTTTTGATGCGTCTACTTCCTAGGTTGTCATTTTCTTAGTTGCATTGTTCGCTTAGTAACTCCATTTTGCAAGTATTGTTCCTGCTTCCCTTGTTATTTTCTTCCCTTCTCATCCTTATTTTCTTGCATCTAACATTTTTGTTACACCCAAATAGTATGCTTACTTCCATATGTTTCAGCATGGCAGAAGACGCAGTTGATGCAGCTATTAAGGCTGGAAAGCTGAATGCTGCTAGTGGATGTGTGACCAGCAACCTGCGTCTTGTTGGTGGTGAAGGGTGGGATCCCGCACATTTTACTGTTATTGCGCAACAATATATGCGCATGAAAAGATCACATAATGGTAAAATTGTTCCTGGAGTAATGGACACTGCTTCTGCAAAGCACTTGTCTCGTGCATATGGAATATTGGCTGAACGTGTGGCTGCCATAGCTCAGGTTGGTTTGTGTTACTGTATATTTGTCTTTAGTTGTATTTGGAAAAGAAATTTTGGTATTTTTTGTTGCTTATGTTATGTCAGTTATATTATGTAGATTTGTAAGATCGTGAGCACCAAGCATAACCAATTTGTTGTCAGCATCATTGATTTTTTGGTGTCACCACCAGTTTTATTTAGAAATTGCAGCTATCACTATTGAAACGCTCTCATTCTGATAAAAACACATTGCTTTCTGCTTTTTTTTTTTTTTTTTTTTACCTATTGTCATATTATAACCTTGGCCAGCCAAGGTTTAGTTTGAAATTCGTCTGATGATTTTTCCAACGTCGATTGAGTTCATATGTCTCTATTTAGAACTTTATAAATTGGGCGACTGATTTTGCCTGAATGGCACCACCTGTTCCTTATAGGGATGGGGTCATGGTTTAAATTAGTAAATTCCAATGTGGAACTGATCTGCTTATCATGTACAACAATATATCCGTTCATTGTTCTATATTTCTGAACTAAGCATGTTTTGAATGTATGATGTTGTCAGAAACTCATCCCATTTCGATTCAATAATTATTTTTGTTGCAATTGTACTTTAGAATTCTATCTTAGTTTGTTGCACTTGTACCGTATATTGAAAGAATTACCACTGTTTCTTATTCAGGGTTGAGCTTCGAGGTCTTATATTGATAGAGAACTCTTTTGGAGTTATACTTAATTCACTGTTGTTGTGCTGGCTTGGATCCTTGCTACATTTTATGATAACCTGAAGCCCTTGTGACTAAAATCTGAATCAACATTATATAAATTATAAACCTATTGTGATATAAACTGATTTGTATACCGAGATGTTGTGAGATCATTGATCTAGTTTAGTTGAGTTGAAGTTCAGAAGCCATGGGGTTTTAATTATGTCATCTTACATGATAAGAATATCTCCTTTATTACAGTGCATCATGCCTTTTTTTTTTATGAGTTTCCTTAGTTTTATGGCTTTATATTGTGTCTGATTTTCTCTCTCTCTTTTCTTTTAATGGTAGAATGAAAATCTTGGTAAGCGACTCGCCCATGGCTACCCGTTTCTGGAGGCAGAAGTGGCCTACTGTGCACGTCATGAATATTGCGAATCTGCTGTTGACTTCATTGCAAGAAGGTCTCGTCTCGCTTTCCTTGACACTGATGCTGCAGGACGGGCACTACCTCGCGTTATTGAAATATTGGCTGCTGAGCACAAATGGGACAGGTCAAGGCAGAAGCAAGAGCTGAAAAAGGCTAAAGAATTCTTAGAGACTTTCAAATCCTCAAAGAATGCTCAGTTCCATGATGGAAAACACAATTAATTAGTGAGCGTTTTCGTTATCTATCCCTTAACCATATACAGAAATTTTCGTGCCCCTTAATCACATACAGAAATTTCTCTGTTCATCATCACCGAGTCTATCTCTTCTTGGGTCCATGAGGGACAAACAAGAACAATTGTAATGATCTATCATTTAATAAAATTTCTCGGGTTCTTGAACTTCTTGGGAGTTTTTGTCTCTGTGTGTGTGTGTGTGTGTGTGTGTGTGTGTTATGCTCTTAGTTGTTGCAAGAATTGTTTCGTGCAATCATGTAGCCTTATCCATCTAATAAGGTAAGGCTTATTGTTGTCAGAATTCACCAACTATACCTGTCAGTCACAGAGATTCAACAAAGTTTTAAATTCTCACTCTGATTATTGAGGGCCTAGTATAGCTTTTTTTTTTTTTTTTTTTAATCGAGACTTGAAACAGATTATGAAGCAAGGTCGGTGGTGTGTGTCAATCATTTTTCAAAAAATTGCTAATGCAATAAGTGGTATTGATTATTGAATAATGAAGCCATGCTTTTTATTATTTAGTAAACAGCATAGGACGACAAATTGACTTCGTAGTTGATAAACAATTTGTCATCCTGTTACCTGCCAAATTAAAGATTCTCTCGCAGTTGTCCATCAGCGCATGCATCATTGGTAACCTCTCTTTGGTGCTTTATTATATTTTCATTTCAATTTCCTGCCTAGTATGTAATCATTTTCACGTTGCTTCTTTGGTTCTGTGTCTATGTGTTTCCGCCCTTTTGAGCTGTTGAAGGAGAAAGGAGATAAAAGATAACTCATATTTCAAAACGAAATAAATCACATTTTTGTTGTTTCTTTTCGGCTTCCTTTTGGGTTCAGTAGTCCCACTTGTGATCAAGAGGCCCATAATCACACCAAAGCCCAGCCCATTTGGTTCATATCTGCGTTAGCTTCGCGCTGCATCATCATCCTCAACTGAGAATGGCTTCTTCAACAGTGGCAACATCAATGGCTGCACTGTCGTCCCTCTCTTTTCGCTACCTCGCCAAACCATTCCTCACGAACACTTCATCTTCTCGCACGCTTCATCGTCTCACTTGCTCCTTATCTACTACCTCTTCTTCTTCTGCGTCTTCCTTAGAATTCAACATCTCATTTGCGCCCCCTAAACCCAAGCCCAAGCTTGAACCCAAGCCCGCTGAGGCAGAACCAATTCCTGACGACGATGATGCTCCCGGAGGCGCCGGGCAGCTCTTTATTCCCTGGATTGTTCGTGGCGAGGATGGAAACCTCAAGCTCCAAGCCCATCCTCCGGCGAGTCTTCTTCAGGCTGTGGCCAATTCCGAAACTGGTACTAAGAAGAAGAAGCTAAAAGCTGAAAAGAGTACTGCGGAGCCGAAGCATTCCAAAGCAGCCCGAAGGTTCTACAATGAGAATTTCAGAGACTCGGGAATGCGGCTAAGTAAGGTTCTTGCCGCTGCCGGAGGTAATTTCGTTGTCATTATTTGTTTCAGATGGACTCATGAAGATCAATACAACTTTGATAATTCGACCGTTTCCCTTGTTAGTGCTATCTCTGATCACGTGTGTATTTATCCCTACTGAGTTCTTTTCCGAATTCTGGTAAGGCATTCCAAACTAAAGCCTTCATGTGGCGGAAAAAAACCCTCTGCTTTAAAACATCATCGTTCTGTTTTGACCAGGACACTTCTTTCCATACTCGGGCCATTTATTAATGCTGGAGTCTGGTTTTATCCCAGGCCCAATTATGTTGGAGCATTTTAGGCCGAACATATACATTTAGTTTCTAAACTCTATTTATAATTGGCATATCATACGGTGGTCCTTAGCTCTTGACTTCATGCAGTTATATGCGTCTGTGTCTTACACTTGTCAGGTTATATTTTTGTTTTCAGTTGCATCCCGAAGGAATAGTGAGGAGCTTATATTTGAAGGCAAGGTTACTGTTAATGGCTCTGTGTGTAATACTCCTCAGGTTTGTTTCCTCTACGTCAACTACGGTGTCCTCAAAATTTGAGCAGGAGAGAAGAAATGATTCATCAATATATTTTATTTGTTGTTTTCTTAATGGCGTTGTGGCAAAAGCTATTCTTAGTATTTGTCTTATGTTTCACGTCATACTCAATTTTAGTGGTTTTATAGCATTTCTTTTGAAACGCAGACTAGAGTTGATCCTGCAAAGGATGTTATCTATGTAAATGGGAACCGTCTCCCTAAAAAGCAGCCCCCAAAGGTGTATTTTGCCTTGAACAAGCCAAAAGGGTATGTTGCATGAAGATTGTTGTTTGGCCGAATTTATGATTCTGGTCCATGTTATGCCCTCCTACAATTTGACAGAATTGTGCCTTGATAGGTACATATGCTCATCTGGGGAGAAGGAGTCTAAATCTGTAATAGGTCTATTTGATGATTATTTGAAGAATTGGGTATGTGCAAATTTTGACCTTATTTGTAGTTGTAGCGCCTGTTTCGTGCATTATGATTAGAGTCTTATTTATGAATTCTAATTTACCATCAAATATGGGAGGCTGCGGTTTCTCCTTTTGTTGTTCTAAGCATCTCTGATATTTAAAATAAAATAAATTATTTCCAGAGTAAAAGAAGTCCGGGAGTACCTAAACCTCGGCTCTTCACTGTAGGGCGCCTTGATGTTGCTACTACTGGATTAATTATTGTGACTAATGATGGTATGTAAAGCAAGTTCATTTTAGTTCTGGTCATAAATCAAATCCAAACTTCAACAGTTTCCATCTAAGTGCATATACATTGCCTCTTATTTACAGGTGATTTTGCTCAGAGACTGTCACACCCATCATCTAATCTATCAAAGGAGTGAGTGTCTGCCCATGGGTTTTGCTTCTTGTATCATTTTTTCTCTATATTATAATTCCATGAATGAAGAAGCTCTCCCTTCCTTTGTCTCTAATATTGTCACATTTTGTCATGCTAGATACATTGCCACAATTGATGGTGCAGTACGTAAGCGGCATCTAATAGCCATAAGCGAGGGAATAACCATTGAGGGCCTTCATTGTGTACCTGATTTTGTGGAGTTGCTTCCACACCAGCCAGATGCACCTAGAGCTCGTCTTCGCATTGTGGTATGTTTATTCTTCCTCTTGTTTTGGTTTTGTTCCTGATCACTAGATCATTTTTAAAACTGACATATTTAACATATAATTTGCTAACTGTATTTGAAACTTCAATATTTAGTCGTTAACTATTCTTTAGCTGACACAGTGACCCATGATTTACTCTCTATCATATGCATCATTCCGACTTCTCTTGGACTAGGGTCTTCAGTTGAAAACTCTTTATAATTAGTCAATATTGAATAATTTCAGCCTCTCTTCTTGAAACAATTGTACGAAGGAACTCCAAAATGAATGACCTGAATTGATTATTAGCAAATCCTTTTTTCGTCTTGTTCTTATATTGCTTGCTCATTTTTATGCCAAACACTCAATACGAGGCCTCTTAAGCCATACCCATGGTTTCGTTTTGGGCTTTTGGCCCTCAATGGCAAGCTGTATATATCTGTATGTGACATGGGGTTTCTGGTTGGACTTTACTGATAAAACGGGAGACAGAGATCGTCATTATTCAAGATGGCCTCACTGGCAACCGTTGGTTTATTTTGCTCTGTTTCCTTGCTGAAGCATGTTACTTTTATGAAGATGAAGAAACCTGAACCTAATTCTTCTGCTTCCTTGTTTGGAATTTTTGTAGGTTCATGACGGGAGGAAACATGAAGTTCGTGAACTTGTGAAGAGTGCTGGGCTTGAGGTTAGCTTTAAATAATAATATGAGATTCATCAAACACACGGGTTATATGTACCATGGCGAGTGGCAAATATATGACTGAATTGTTTATCTGCAGTTTTAAGTTCTACTTAGCTATAGATGAAGCAGAGTTATAAACAGGAGGCTAAAAAAAAGAGAGAGAGAGAAAAAAGGTGGATAACATATCGTTATCAGGTGAAAAAAATTAAAAAGACCGAAATAGGGAAGCCTTGCAAACCTCAAATGCTAGTCTAATGGACTTATATGATTAGTTGCAGTAAGATCATCTGTTCATCCAAAGTTACCAAGAAAGACATCATATGTGACATGTCTAATCTATTTATTTTAAAGTAAATTACACATACTTTTCATGACTTTCGTTGAATGCACAAATTTTCCTTGAAACTAAATGGATCCAACGTTTAAGTCCAATTTTTTCAGAAGATAAAAATACCCTTCATTTAATTTTAGTTTAAAAATGTATTTAGGTTTATAGAGAATCTTTAGAGGAAAAATTTTAATCAGATTTAACCCATTTAAGTTCGAATAATTTCTGATTTTTGAGGATGATTTGGTATACTTCGAAAAGAAAGAAGAGGCATCTGTAATCTGAATAAAATTCATTAGTTTATGTGTATGAACTCTTGCCCCAATTCTTGGGAGCTACGACCAATTTTCCCTACTTATTTTCCAACTTCTGTTTCCTGTTCCAGATTCATTCATTAAAGCGAGTACGCATTGGTGGTTTTAAACTACCATCAGATCTCGGGTAATAACCACGTTTTAAATTTTAGCTCTTAACCAAACCATTCTTTAGCATGCATAGCGGCATGCAACTGCCATTTGAATTATTTTTCATTGCCTGTGTTTTCAGGATAGGGAAGCACATCGAACTAAAACCCACAGATCTGAAGGCATTGGGGTGAAGGAGTTAAAACGGCTGCTCCTTAATTGTTATAGCTTAAAACATTGCTTCAACAGGTCAATTCAGGCAAAGGCAGCTCCGAAGCTAATATTTCAAGAGTTTGCTGATTATTTAAGTTGTTGAGGTATGAATCCTGGTGGCTTTCTGGAAGCTGTTTTGGGAATGGGACTGAGCAAACTGCTTCTCTGAAGTGTTTGATATCTCATACCGTGATGCTGATGAGACGTTCTTAGCCTCTCGAAACAGGGATATACCAAGAGGATTTTGGAGAGGATTTTAGACCAAGTGATATGGCCTGTTTGTAAATTTGTATTCATGGTGTTGATGTTAATTTATTGAAGATACCACAAATGATGAGCCTAGTGGTTGTATACATAATGTTGAACCTAGAACTATAATGTTTAATGTTGGGAACTGTAGTGATACAGTGCAATTCAAGAGGGACACGAAATCATCATCCATGTATTCCAAATTATTCTTGTACATGTTGGCCCTTGAATAAATAAAAAAACAATTTGATCCTATGCAATGGTCTGCTGTGAGTTTAAGATTAATAGTTGTTGAGCATGCATTTGGCCCATATATCTTTCTTCTCCCTGTAACATTCTTTTTGCCTTTTCTGGGTTGAATTCTGTAACATACATTTACGCCACTATACCAGTCATCCTCAGTCAATATATCTTGGAAAACAAAACCTCCAAGCCACGACCCTGTAATCCTAATATGGCTTCTCTCATAAAGTTACTATTCATAGAGCCATTTAAAACGTTGGGCTTGGTGGCATATTAGGATATTAGGATATTCAACTAATTATTCATTAAGGGCCTGTTTGGGTATCCCTAAACCGTGGTTTCAGAAGCACTTTTTCGAAACGAGATAATCTCCTCCACATATTTACTTCATAATTAAAAACACTTCTGAAACCATTAAGTTAATCAACAACTACTAGGGAAAAGAAAAAGTTAATCAATATCTCTTTTTTTTTTTGGGAGAAATCATCAATGTATATCTGACAACAAAACCCAGCGACATACCAGCATGGAGCTCCAGTGGTCGCTGTTGGAGGGATCACTGGTGCCGAAGAGGGGTGTTTAAATGACATTCTAAAGAATGGAAAAAAGGTGAGGGACGTGACGCGATTTCGCAACATTTCATAATTATCCTTCAGTTTTAAACACAAGACTAAAAATTACACTATATAAATCACATTATATGAACGTGAGAGTACTGAATTAATCCAATTATGTTGGTTTGGTATATCCAACTTCGATGATTTCTCTGGTCAAAAAAAAAAAAAAACTTCTATGATTTGATATTTGGCATTTTCAAGGGTATTTTTTTATATTAACAAAACTGCGTGTAAACTTGACATGTCTATGAACCCGATCCTCGTATCAAATGATTGGCAAATAGAAGATGCTTCAGGTTTACTCTGCATCCCCACCCAAAGTTTCCTCTCACTCACCTGTTCCTGAAATTCTCAAAACCAATCTTCTCAGAAACTTCAATTCGCCGTTGGAGCTCAAACAGGTTCACGCCCTTCTCATTAAAAACCACACTCCTCTCTCTTCTCTTCCTCTCACTCGAGTCGGCCTCGTTTGTGCTCTCAATCCCAGTTTTGCTTACGCCCGACGGATTTTCCAGACCCTCGAAAAGCCAGAAATTGTTGTGTGGAATTCGTGTCTCAAGACCTTAGCTGAAGGAGATTCACCTCAAGACGCCATCTTCCTTTTCTATCACCTGCGTCAGGTCGATGTTTTACCTGACGATTTCACGTGTTCATTTGTTCTCAAGGCGTGTGCGAATTTATTGGACGTTCTCAATGGCAGAATCGTTCATGGTTATCTGGAGAAACTTGGTCTTCAGAGTAACTTGATTTTACAGAACATGATTGTTCATCTTTACGCGCTGTGCGGTGCAATGAGTGATGCTCGGCTTCTGTTCGTCAAAATGCCTCAAAGAGACGTTGTTACCTATAACATAATGATAAGCCAATGGATCAAGGCGGGGGATCTCAATATGGCTCATGATGTGTTTTCTAAAATGTCTCAGAGAAATGTAAGATCGTGGACATCAATGATTTCTGGGTTTGTCCAATATGGGAGATCAAAGGAAGCCATTCGTTTATTCTTGGAGATGGAGAGTGAAGGTCTAAGGCCAAATGAAGTGACAGTAGTGGCCGTTCTTTCAGCTTGTGCTGATTTGGGTGCTTTGGATCTTGGCAGAAGGGTCCATGAATACTCAAATCGAAGTGGGTTTCATGAAAATGTCCATATATCCAACACCCTGATTGATATGTACGTGAAATGTGGGTGCTTGGAAGACAGTTACAGAGTTTTTGAAGCCATGCGAGAAAGAACTATAGTGTCATGGTCAGCTATGATTGCAGGGCTTGCAATGCACGGACAAGGAGAGAAGGCTTTGGAACTATATGATAAAATGATTAGATCAGGAATGAAACCCAACGATGTAACTTTCGTTGCACTACTTCATGCTTGTAGTCACTTGGGATTAGTAGACAAGGGTCGTGAGCTTTTTACCATGATGACTAGAGATTATGGGATAGAACCTAAAATCGAGCATTTTGGTTGTATGGTTGATTTATATAGTCGTGCTGGCCTTCTAAAAGAGGCTCACGAGTTCATTGTGAACATGCCTATAGCACCCAATGGGGTCATTTGGGGTGCTCTGCTTGGCGGATGCAGAGTTCATAAGAACATTGAATTGGCCGAGGAGGCAATTAGACACACTTCTGAATTGGACCCACTCAATGACGGGTATTATATTGTTTTATCGAATGTTTATGCAGAAGCTGGACAATGGGAAAAAGTGGCGAGAATCAGAAAGCTGATGAAACATCGAGGGGTGAAGAAAACTCCGGGATGGAGTTCAATCACCATTGATGGGATTGTTCATGAGTTTGTAGCAGGAGACGAGAGTCATCCTGAAGCTGAAGAGATATTTGGAATGTGGGAAAAGTTACTTGTTAAGATGAAGCTAAAGGGTTACGTACCAAATACTTCAGTTGTTCTTCTTGACGTGGAAGATGGAGAGAAGGAAGAGTTTCTTTTTCGCCATAGTGAAAAATTGGCTCTTGTTTTTGGGTTGATGAAATTGCCACCTGGAATGTCAATTAGGATAATGAAGAACCTTCGGATGTGTGAGGATTGCCATGCTGCTTTTAAAGTAATATCAGCCATGGAGAATCGAAATATTGTGGTGCGTGATCGTAATAGATTTCATTGTTTCAAAAAGGGGGCTTGTACGTGCAGGGATTACTGGTAGCTAAAGCACCACGCTTTAGTAAAGTGAAGTATCCGTGTAAGAGTTGAAAACATAGTTATTAATCCCTGGCTCAAAGGGCTTGTACTATGCCCTACAATCTGTTACTTTATAAACACGCCCAAAAAAAAGAAGAGTTCAGAGGTTCTGGAAATTACAAAACAGGTATGAGGGATGATGTACCCTCGGCTTCTGGTTTGCCCCATTGCACTGAGATCATCGCGCGCGCGCGCGCGCACATAATCAACTTTTAATTTATGTTTTTAGAATATTATTGTCAAATATGTCCTTAAACTTTGGACGAACCTAAATAGCTAAACATATGAACCAGGTTTATTGAGAAAGGCCATCTTCTATCGTGGCAATTTATACGCATTTCATTTTAAATATCGTCTCCCTAAACATAGTCAAGTACTCACAGGAGGTCAGCATAGTTAGGTTGAACATGGAAGATATACCCAACCCAAAGGGAAAGCAGAAGCATCCAAAATTGACATTTCTCATTAAATTACATTACATTACAAACAAATGAAGCAAAACAGTGGAACAACTATCATCGAGAGCAAAAACATGATCATCTCTTAAACAGTGACCTGCGGCTTCAAAGGGACAAAAATGACATATACATCCACTTGGCATCCGACTGAGAAATAGGATCAGAAATTCATTTGATGCCAGAACCCATCAAGTCCGAAACAAACTCTGAAATATAAACAGATGAATGCATATACTACAGTGATAAAATTTCAGATACACGATATTGTGCATCAGGAGGAATCTCCCTCCCTGGGACCTGGACCTTTAGAAGGTTACCGTACCTGTAGAAACAAAGTCATCATTGAAGGAAGTCAGATCCACAAGGGAAAATAAGGGGGCCAGAAAAAAGAAAAAAAAAACGAAAGTAGAAGAACTACAATTAGCATCAACTTACTCGATGACAGTAAACAAGTGCTTATGTTCTGTAACGAAGGCAAGCAAAGCCTGAAACAGGTAGATTAATAATAATGAAATGAGATGGCATGACGAGAATTACTACAACATGAAGCCAATAGTTCAGTTGACTTGCCTCAAATGGCATGTTTAACAGTTCATAGTAGGTGCGGACCCTATCCAATCTTTGTTGAACAACTTCACTACTAATTGATGGTATAGCTGACAGTGCCTGTAATCACACAATCCCAAATTGCATATGAGAAGCTGTCAAGATAATCAGATCAAGGAAAACCCTAACAACTGGCATCCTTCCAAGTGGCTATCATCAATAGCTGAATGAAATACAGATTACATAGAAAAATGAGTAAGCAGCTTCAGAAGCACAGACACGATTCTCCCATCAGAAATAAGCCATAAAGACAAGTTTCCCAAAGAATCACTGCATCCCATCACAGTGTAAAACCTCAATCCCAAAGATCCTAAAGACAAGTTTCCATAAATAATGGGTAATTCCAGATGTCTAAAGAAGCAAGGGTACCAAGTTTAAACATGTTTTAATATTCGAGACACCTCAAACCGTATTCCTACTTTTGGATACAATAAGCAGCGAAGGTTGGCTACATGCATCCCTTCATCTCGCTTCCATGTGTCCTCACACTAGTTGTTGCCCCTTCATATATATCCATGTGGCTTTAACATACACAACACAAAAAACTTTCCTTTCAGGGCTTTTTGTAGCACTTCTCTCGGTACTCGATCATAACCATACATAAGTCTCTGTACTTTAGTATTTTTCCGTTAGCCCCCTTAGGTTATAGACAATGTTGTCATAAATCCAAATTGGTTCTCTAAAATATAAGTCTCATTTCTTAACACGTGCTCAATCACTCTTTTTCATAACTTCATAGTATGGCTCGCAGGATTTATCCCTTGGTAGTTTTCATAGTTTTGAATATCCCCCTTATTCTTGTATTATAGGCACCAAAGTGCTTCTCCTCCATTCCTTCGACATTTCCGCGGACCTCAAAATGTCATTAAATAATACCTTCCTCTCCCCCATATTCCCACTTTTGGGCAATGCTAGTTTTTCATTTTTATTAATCCCATTCAGGACTGATGAGTTAACTCCTCAAACCATTGCAGGAAAGTTCTCACTTGGAGTAGAAACTAAGCAAATTCTTGTGGTAGCAATAATGACATGGAATCCTAGCTAGCCATTAGGCGTCTTAGTTTCCTTCCCGGTTGCTCATCTACCCCAGTATTCATGCAATGGAGCCAACATTGATTTCTGCTACTTATTTCAGTTCATTTCCTTCGTCTTAGCTGATATTTTAATGCGTTTTTATGTGTTTTTGTGTTTAATGTTTGTTATGCTTTATATCTATGTTTTATGTCACCTATATGATGTATGGCTGTGTCATTGTGGGTGTGGCTTGTCTATGTATGTCTTTGGGGGTGTGGGTTGTCTTCGTTGATTAGCAGGATTACTGTAAGCTGCTGAGGCAACCTTAGTGATGAGTGGGACTGCACATTGTCAGGGCGGTGGAGGCACCAATATTCAGCAGAGCAACGAACTCTTGTTCTAAATAGGTCCTTGAATATATTACACAATAGTTCCATATATTGAGAATCAGATTGGAAGCGAACAGAATTTGGGTTTCTGGTTTCCAGCCATTGCATCAGACTTCCCCTTTATGCGACTCCCTGCCAGGCTCGTCTGAAATCTACCTTGACTATTAGGGGTAAATGAGTGTTTATAGTAGTATACCCAAGCTTGCATTATCATTTATTGACATGACTATTCACGTCCAAAATTGAGTTCAAGGAGCATAGCTAAATAAAAAAAATTAAGAGCTCAACAACCAGCTAATTTTGGAAAGAATTACTTCTATCACCAGGCACCCATCCCACTGGCCCCATAAACAAGATACATGCAAACCTACGGTAAGCTGTAGTCCCTAAACTTCTCTGTTTAAATATACAGGAGTATCTAAGATAATTAAGAGAAAAGAATGGCAAAATAAGTCACCTGTTCCAGAGCAATAGAGTCTCGACAAATTTGCTGAACCCCAAAAAGGTTAATAGACTTCATATCCGCTAAAGCCTAATAAGTGCATCGTCTCATTAGCAGTGCAGAAAATGGAGACAATCCAAATGATTTAACTGGCAATACAGCCAAAAATATAGAAAGGCAAAACTCTGACATCAAAACTGTTCACACTTGTCTGTACCTTAAGAAATGCATTCGCTGCAATACCACAAATTCCACCAAATATGTAATTCCGCTTTGCATTTGAGACAAAAGGAGCCATTTTCTCATCTCTTTGCGTGATCTGAAGATACCATAAGATAAATCGGTTTGAGTTGTGTAACCATGAAATATCTTTGGATGAAATAAACTAAGACTGATCAGCATGCTGCACTAAATGCCATGCCTACATTGTTAACTGCTTTTGAAACATACAGTAAGCATCCAAAAAAGTAATCCTAGAGATCAAATATTTCAGTGATTTGGTTTTGTTTTGGTACTGGGGTTTATTGTAAATTTCAGTCTCTGCTGAATCATAATTGCTTAGAATTTTTTAGACATTTAAATGTAGTAAAATTACGTTTAGGAAGCTTCTATAAGTGCTAATTTAGACAACTTTAATCAAGGTTGTTGGAATCGAACCAGACCAGCCAGTTTGACTGGAAACTGGCCTATGGTTTGGTCCAGACATCTACCAAAACTGGGGGAAAAGCAAACCAATAAAACAGGTCAGAACCAATGGAAAACAGAGCAGTCATTTTTTCTCTTTTTTTTTTTCTTTTTTAAATTCAATTATCCAAATTTGTATTATTTAAGTGGGGCATGTATGAAATGATGTTAGTTTGACATGTACGAGATTGAGATAGCCAAATACTTCAGAAAATCTTTGGGCGTGTATGACAACATATGAATAAATATTTGAGTGAGTTATTTTTTTATACGTATTATTTAAAAAATATTATTTTAATTGAGACCAATCCGACCATGGTTGGTGCCAAAACTAGTTCAATGCCCTATGTTTTGACAACATTGACTGTAATATCTAGCATTTATGAATGTTTTGTCGACATTTAAAATTTCAATATCAGCATTTTTTGTCAACGGCATTAGGGTACAACAAACTAAAAAGACACTTTATAAAAAGCTTTTTTTTTTTTTTGTGTGCAGATGTTGTATTGAATCTCCTTAAAGAAAACCAGTTAAACAGGAAGGCTTCTCCATAAGAAGCATGTTTCTTTTTTTTTTTTTTTTTTTTTTTGGGGCCACATAAGAAGCATGTTGCATTAAAAACTCTCTCTAGACACCAGTGATAATTGGGACAGCAGAGAACTAACCAGAGGATGCTAAACAAATTGATATGCAAGCATTTAATTCAGTTTTGATTTCTGGGAATATAAAAAACAGAAATCACGAGTATGCAATTAAATGAGTAGAACAAACATCTGCAAATCATCGACTACTTCTAATATTGACTATTGGGCAATACTTCAATAGTGAGAGGTTTATGTAATAATCTCCTTAAATGACGTGCACATACTAGGAGCACAAACCCATTAAAATTCCAAGCAGAAGCAAATGATATAAAAGGACACCTGTGCAGTGAGCGAAATGATGAAGTCATCTGGTTCTTCAGCATCTTGGTCATCCAAGTATTCTCTGTTTGTCATTCCCTGTTCATATTTGTGAGACTCAGTTCAACTGAAGACAATTAGAGACAATCAAATCAATAAAGACCTACCTGCAAATGAAATATTGTCTCCATCTGCATCTCTATACGCAAAACCTTGAGACAATCAATTGCCAATTTCCTATACTCTTGGGCAAATGATGCCAAATTCTTTGTGTTGTCTGTGTGCGTGGGATTGACTTTTCCATTCACTACTTGATTTGGTGCTCTTTGTGTAGCCTGTCCGAGCCTGCAAATTCCACCAGGATCCAATGCACCATCAAAAACAATGCCACAAGGCTCAAAAGAGATATGTCCGTGAGTATCTGATACTGTACTTCACTATTCTATCAAGAAACAAAAGAACAAGCCCAACACCGAAATTCCCATGACAATTGATACCCAGCACTTCAAGAATGTCCAGGTATATTAACAAAAGTAAATCACATCCATACAATGCAGCATCAATGGAATTTCATAAAGACAGAAACAGATATTTGACCCAAAGCCCCCCCCAAAAAAAAATTTTTTTTTTATGCCTGTTGAAATTTTTTCCCACCCAAATAAATAACATGAATCAAGCAACACGGGTCCCCTTAACCAATTATCAGAAGTTGCAGAACAGACCTCCCTTACAGGAAACAATCCAGCCCACAAAAGCAGCCCAACAGGCAGAGACCAAAAACAGCAAACTGTTCTCAAAATAATGATTGGGTCTCAAAATAATTATGTATAATGCCCCTGTAAGATGTTTATTTCGTTCAAGTTCAAACTTGAAATTAAACTCCTCAGTACCTCATGGGAAAGCAAAAGATATGCATACAGTTACCATGAATTTCCTACCAGCAAATATAAGCTTTCCTTTGAACAAGACAGAACATTCTTGTCAGGATTGCAGAGGATGATAAACTCACCTTTCAATAGAGTCTGCAACATACTCCAATGAATCGCTGAGAGATGCCAACAAAATAAGTTTGTTATCATCATGGATTAGATTTTCCTGAAGCAGAGAGACTGTCAACAAGGTTCCTTTTGTCTTGTTAATAGAAGTTTCTCCATAGCAGCCAAAGAACAGGTGGACCAAAATTTGGAAAAGGAAATAAAATCTTCAAACAATTCTGATATTATATTTCCAAACGCTTCCATGCAATGGGATCAAGAAAAAGCAGAAAAGGAATACAGGACTGAATTTAGCAGCCAATTGACTTGTATTTGTACCCTTAGAGCCAAAGAAATCTGACTATTCAGCCAAAATACACATGTTATCGAAGCATTTTGGTCATTTCTCACCACTTCTACTCATCCTCCGCCACATTCTCTGCCATCCACACTTTCTGATATTCTATCCCTATTGTCATTGCAGGCCATATGCCCAAAGGAGACATTATTTGTAGAGTGGTCATCAGGTTCGGTGCTGTTGGTTCGGGGGGGATGGAAATAAAGTAAGGCAGCTTGTCCATTAGAGAATAATCCATCCTAAAAAGGTGGGTGGCACACTAAGTTTGGTTATAACTTCTTCACACACTTAATAATTTCAGGTAGCAGACCTGTTGGCGAAAGTTGTGCTAGAAGTTAAAATTGACAATCTGACAAGCAAGATGGAAATGCAAAATCTCCACCTTCCAGCAAGAAGCAAGTGTTGGTTGTTGTGCTTATGATAGAACCTCGACTATAATAAACTTATAACAGACCAGAAATAGGCCATGAACAACCGGGGGGGACAAGGAACAACACAGATTACACAACATAAAAATCCAGAATAGAAGCCACTGGACTTTCGAGAGGCCAGTGCTCTCCCAGACTCATTTCACTCACCAAAAGACTGAACTGCCTTCTCTCTGAACCCAGGGAAGATTTGAAAACCCAAAAGTTAAAAAGAAGTCTAAACATACTCCTAGAGACCCTAACGCATCACAAGATCATTCAATTGCTTTTGCTTACAAACAAGATCCATAGGACAAGCCTCTGAACCCCTTCAATATCACCCCCTTTTAACCCCTCTTTTTCATTTTTTTTGCCACTCCCCCATATCCCTCTGGGTACGTTCTAGTAGTAGTAGGAGGCTGGGTCTTATCAGCTTCTCTGGCCAGCCAATCATGTGTTTTTTATTTTCATTTTTTTTCAATTATATGTTTCTTTACTTAATCGGTTGTTTTACTGTGTTTATAACTTCCTTTGTTGCTTGTTGGGTTGAGTTAGGCACCACGTGACTTGCCTTCATACCCTAATTTCATGGCATAAATAAAGTCAGAGATACAGAACCCTGAGTGGTCCAGATCAAGAAGTGGATCAATGTAATTATGAGATGTAGACCCCATACACAGCTACATTCTCTTGTATCACTCTCTGGATGCATGAATGCATCAATGGAGAAGATCCAAAGGCAATTCTGACAACTCAGCCGAAATACAGAAAATCAATAAGAAAAATAACTAGTCAGTTCAGACAGCTCCACACAAACCTGCTTAATGGGCCGCAAATTCAGCAGTAAATCACTTAGCTCTGATTCAACCTCAATTGTTTCAGCATCAGGCAAATTATTTTCTGTGTTAAGCTCACCAAGCGGATTTGGCAAATATGCACTTGAGGAGTCAATCCTCATCAGCTTCTCAACATCGTGCCTCCCAATGAGCATATAGCTCTGCTTCTCAAGGACAGCCTAAAAAATCATTGTCAAACCTGTAAGGAAACTCTACTACAAAGAACATGGAGTACAAGACAACAGTGTTTAATCATCCAATGACCTGAATAGATTAAAAGCTGGAAAAGTTACATTTTATTAGCAATGGAAAATATAGCTGGCTTAATAGTATACCAAAATTATTGATGTCTACTATTAGATGGCTTAATAACAATGCTGAAGAAAAGATACCTCCATGTATGAAGTTCGACATCTTTCATAAGTCCGCTCCAGGAATGTTTGCACATACTTCACAAGGTCATTGGCAAATTTGGGCATTGCTTGCGCCCAACCAAGAACCTACACATTAATTAGATGCCATAATCTAGAAGGCAGAACATCCACAATACCAGATGCTCTCTACCTAAAGATGCGATTCAATTTCAGACAGATTCAATAAAAAGAAGTCCAAACCTCATGAGGCCAGTGTTTATAACTTCCAGAATATAAAATAGAAATAAAAATTATATATACATAATGTGCCTTTTATAAAGTAAAGTTAAAACTTACCTCCTTTGTCAGGAAATCTATAGCCAATAGCCCTTGCAACACAGGTCGACCCTTCTCAATTGATGGAGTGTACGCAGTAACCAAGTGTGCCCTTGGGCGAAATGCAGCTGGACCTGAAAGATAATATGCAAATATCAAATATTTCAATAATTCTACGCCAGAGTCAAAATTAACAAAACTGTCCAAGGACTTTTACCAAAATGCGAAGAAGAAGAAGAAGAAGTCCTTAAAAAGAAAGCTCACATGCAGGAAGAATTAGAAAAATATATCAATGAACTAAAACTTCACAACCCTGTAACCCTAATAACCCATGTCATCGTATTAAGTTATTCGCAACTTCTGTAGCTTCATATTTATTGTTGCATGTTTGTGCCCATATGAAGGGCAGGGCAAGATATAATTTATTCATACAAACTCACACGCATACTAAGATAGTTATAATTAAGCTTTTCAATTGAAAAAAAGCCTTCCCCTCTTAGAAAACCAACAGCTTACAAACAATACAGTATGACCAAGACGTTTCAAGATATGAGATGGAAAAAATGAATATATTAGTGGTCAAGCTCAAATAATATCAACAGAACGGATCTCAATAGTTTGTAGACTTGCTTGATATGGCTTGTTGTACACATTTTCTGTAGTCCACGAACATAGTAGGCAAAAAGTGGTCCTTTACAAAGTTCTCCACGAAAGCTAACAGCCCATCATTCCTTCTTCTGCTCAGGAAGTTGAAAACAACACGTTATTTCCAGTAAATTGGAAAGCAATCATGCTTTAGCACAAGTTGTTCCATAATTTGATTAAAGTAAATCGACAAGAACAAAATATGCATACCATGCATAATAAGTAAAATAACTCAAAAAAGAATGCAAAGTTCGGTAAAAATAATACACCGAAAAAATTATTTGGCCCTTTCTAAAGTTCAGTGAATTGATAATTAAAGAAGCAACAATGACCTTTATGCATGCGTGTTTGTGTGTTTAAGCAACTGGTGGACAGTTCCTCTAAGGCCTCAACCTTCTCAACTATCACCATGCACACAAGGCAACTTTTTCTATTTCACTCTTACAGAACAAAATGACCCAAAAAAAAAAAAAGGCATCACAATGTTTTGTAACTTACCCAAGCTGGGAATATTTTGTAGGCAGCATTGAAGCTATTTTATCTGCAAACTGCATAATAAGTCAGGTCAATAAGAAAATCAAAATGTAGAAGGAACTTAATGTATACTTTACAACGTTGATTTTTATGATTTAGTTTAAACAGTGACTTGGTGATAAGGAAGGATTCATCACTTTGCATCCCTTTTCCAAATGCATACTCTTAGATAGGATAGCAAAAAACAAGGAAAAATAAGATGAACGAGAAGAAAGATGATCAATCCTCCAGATAATGGTAAGCTGATCTAGTGCTAAGCCTTAACTAGAAGATAGCAGAGAACTACGAGACTTCTAAATCCTTGGTACTTATTGATAGGAAAAGATGCAAGTCCAAAATATAATACCTGAAGCACAGGTCGGTATATAGAAGCTGCTAGATATATGCCTTGCTCAGGCAAAACGGCTGCAGATCCATAACCTTCTGGCAACACATTTGGACCCCTTCTACTCCATCCTTGTCGGATCAGATCAACTCCTGGACATTAACAAAACCAGCCATAGGCGTTGAAAAATAAAAAAATAAACTAGCAGCTAAGAAAGCAGCAAAAAATAAATAATAAAGAAAATCCACAAAAATTATTCAGAAGAAATTGCCATGCAAATAAAAGTAATTCGCCCAGAAAAAGCTCATGTAAAAAAAAAAAAATCAAAAGTAAAACCTTGACAAATAAATTAGAAAAACTACAAAAGGTCATAATGATGCTACAATAAACTCCCCCAAGCAGTCTATCATAAAAAATATGATAGGCTCGGGTAAGATCAAAAAGATTTTTCAAAATGGAATATACTGCTAATAACAGAACCTACAAAGGAAGAGAGACAAGAAAGTAGAAAGTATTAAGGGTAAGAGATCCTCAAATCAGAAAATAAACCTAAAAAAAGGGGGGGGGCCAGTGAAACAAAAAGGATGAAGGTAATTAGCATAGCAGAGCTGTCCAATCTCTTCATAAACTACACCCAATTCTTTCCAAATTATGCAAGCTTCACTTTATGTATATAATAAAGGAGAGTTTGTTCAGATTAATGAAAGAATTACAAAAATGGAGGATAAATGGATTAAGAAATTCTCCCATACGCCAAAAAATCATCCTCAAAAAATTCTCCAATCCGGCTGTAAATCCACTAGAGAATCACACTTAAAAAACCTCTGAGCTCAGCCCATCTAGAAGCCAGATATACTATTCCATCCCATAAAGGATGAGAAGTAATTAAATTTAACTAAACTCACCTATAATTCTATCCTAATAATAAGTAACAATATTTATTTTCCTCACTTAATCACATTCTGCATACCCTGATTAGGAACAGATACAGTAGCATCAGTGAAGCGGAATGCAAAGGTGAGACCATCATCTGACCCATCCCTGTAATTCAATTGAAAATGATGATAAGATAAGCAAACATGATTACATAAATTAATAACTATCAATACATTTGACTTTGCAAATTGTAAATTGTAATAAACAACCATATGTTCCTCAATCATTACAGATTGCTAGTGGAGCTTAAAGACAGTTCGTTATAATGATGGTTTGCTTGAAATACATGGAGAAGTAAGAAAGAATCAATTGTGAAATAATCTAGTGCAGAAGTAGAGTTTTAGGCAACAGCATTGGGCATGTGTGAGTTGTTGTGACTGAAGAATATTCTAGAAGGTTTGAAAATTACACGGGAGGCCCTAAGGAAACTATAAGCAAGAATCAATCAGCTACCAACATAGATCATAAACCAATTCAGCATAATTGAACAAAACATGTCAAGGTTGATAAGCATTTAAGGAAAAACTGGAAACTAGGCTGACTTGCATCTCATGTATACCCACAGGAGAGTTAACTGTTATGCGGAAAGTCATATTTTTATTCATCTCTTATATCTTTGCATTTATCGTAATTATTTCCTCTTGAATGTAACTTATGTGTATTAAATGTGAATAGCCATATAGATCATAATTCCTTAACTTTAAGGATTTACACATGAAGTTAATCATCTATAAAGAACACCTTTGTATACACCCACTCTTGGTCAGAAGATTTCTAAGATAAGAATTTGCCTCAGTAGCTTCTTCTGTGTATTGCTAAATTCTATGTGTACTAGTTCTTATGTAGCCAGAGGACCCTATTCACTATTTCAAAACGACCAAAAGTTTGAACAGAAGAGAGTAATATTAAATCTTAAATTGAAAAGAGAATTCAGGACACTTGCCTCTTCTCTTTGGAAGGGACTTTGCTTGCAAGCCTAGCAGTTTGCACAGCAGCATCCGCTGATGCAGCTTCAGGGGTAGCCCGCAGAACCTCACAAATTAGTTGTTGACATTCACTCTATAACAAGTTAGAAAATAAGTGAGTTAAAGTATAAAATAAATGGTATGAGGTATCCACCCAACATGTACAGTGAAACATACTTTTAAACTCCTCAGGTTAGGTTTATACATATTAACTACGACAACAAGTCTTACCCTACTAGATGAGGTCAACTATGTAGATTGAAGACACCATTATGCTCTATCAATGACTAGATTTTTTAATATATCATTAGCCAATAGGTCCCATTCAACAACTTCGTTGAGTGTTCTCTTTGATCTTCCTCTACCCTTCTTCACAGGACACAACTGTCTGTTCTATCCTCTTCACTAGAGCCTCCAACGACCTTCTTTCACATTCAATAACACTTTCTTCCATAAATGACTAAACAGCACTTGAAAGTATAGGACAAAACATTTTGCATTTCACATTCAATAACACTTTCATCAGCGTACATTAATCAAATGAGACATAGTTAAAACAAAATGTGAGCTGCAGAGAAAATACCAAACAAGTTGCACTCAAAACAAATCTATGAAATACAATTAACCAAACCAAAAGCACAAGTTGGAAATAACAGAACAAAACCCCAGAACCTGGTGCTCACAAATCTTTTAAATTATATATTCCACTTCTTTTGTGGACACCTCAGAAAGCAGGTTTTCCTTTTCAACCATGCAAATCCAATATCATATCTCAATGGCTCACAGTAATTCCATCTACCTTACTCTTACACCTACTACTAAAGGGTAGTTAAGAGACATTTCATTGCACGTGATGAAGAGAAACATGGCTTGACTGCAGATGAGATTCAAGAGCACAAATATGTAATACTACCAATGCTCGTTCAAAATATATTAATATCTTGCAACTAAATTGCTCATAGAGACTACCTGTAAAACTGACAGGGAGAAGCCTACACTATAACCTCCAGTGGCTTGAGATGCTTCCGAATCGAGGTTCCAATTCACATCTGCTGGCATTGATTTTGGTGTGTTCATGTCAGCATGCTGGCTGGCTTTTGATTCCAAAAGCTCCCCCACAACAACATGATTCTCTGGAGTCATGAGATCAAAATTACTGGATTCACTATTGATTGAGAAAGGAGGAAATAACAACAACAACAACAAGAATAATGTGTCTGACCAAATATCCGAACAACGGCATCCAAAATTGAATCAAGAAGATCCTTTGCAGCAACCTGCGCTTTCCCACCAGGAGACATAACTGGTGATACAGGGCTTACAGTCACTAGAGTCCCAGCAATGGATATTCCATTCTGATGCTTTTGCTTTGGCAACTGATAGACTTCAAGTTGACCCTTTATGAAGTGTAGCCCTCCTGTACCAGCTCTTGAACCCTGGCTGATGCTGGCCCTTGACAAACTCTGATGTTCTGCATGAGCTTTGATCTTGGATGTCATAATCTCATGAATTGTTGGCCGCAATCTTTGGCTGGTACACAAGAAAAGTAGAAAAGTTAATACAACATCTTTACTTGCAAATCTGACAAAAGAAAAGAAAGCATAAAAGTCAGACAGCGCTAGATCTGCACAGCCAAGGGCGCCCTCCTCCAACCACAATAATGGGGTTTAGGTAGCATGTCCCCCAGTAACATAATAATATATATGGATGGAAGGGAATCCATGGAATGGAAAGGAAAATCTATAGAAAGGGAACTTTCTTCCATTGTAAGTTTCAAAAATAGAGGAGTGATAGTGTTGTCTCTCCCCTTCCCCTCCAAACACCAATTTTTCCTTTCCCAAAATATGAGGTAATGAGAGAGAACACCAACCTTCATTTTATAATTGACAAAAATCATTCACAATAACGCTAAATGCTTTACCAAGACAACTAAAGGCCATTAGAACAACACCGAACATCTAATTTCCAGCACTGGAGATTGTAGACTAATACACCATGCAGTACCAGTGAGCACCAGATGGTAGATATTTTTAACGTAAAACAAAAACACAACAGAGTCCACAAAACACTATACCAATTAGAATTTCAGATTCACAACTCTGCCAGGGAGTATAAGAGATCATTTACTGGGCAAAGCCCAATCCTTTTACAGATTAAGACAGTATTGGCATCCACATATGCACTACTAGTCACATCTAAGAAATGCCTGTGGAGAAATGAAATTCTCAAACAGTTTCTAGCAAAAAGAATAAATCATCAGAAAGAAAACAAACCTTATTATAGCACCTGCAGCTGCTACTTTGCCAAGCTTGCAAAGGCACTCAACCATTGTCTGAAGATACTTCACATGAAGAGGAGCATCACTTTTTCTGATTAACTCCTAAGCACAATAATTTAACCCAGAACATTAGTTAATAGACTAGATATCAAAACTAAGCTCAAGAAGCAATGTGAATATCTTGAAGTGGCTAGTACAAGAAACTCATCAGGTGTCGCATTTGAAAGCCATAATGGCATTTGCGAAAGAGCAGTCTTTGTGTCCTTTGTTATATCACCGCCATTGACCTTCAATGTTGTAGCTTCTTCATTTATTTCTAGAGTACCTTCCTCTTCATGGCCATCAAAAGATCTGTAAAATTCGATCATCTATAATATATGTAAACAAGTATATTATGCAACCAAAAATACAAAGCAGACAGGTAAATGTACATATTCAATAGAAAACAGTTGATAATCCCTTAGAAGAATAACATACGCTTAAAATTATAAACAGAGGCGAAGAGGGCATGACCTAATGAGGATAATAACACATCAGGCACAGAAAGTTACACTACACCAACAAAAGATTAATAAACTGGCCAAAATTTTCCCCAGTCCTTTAATGAACAACTAAAATATTCAGTAATTGCTTGAAACCTTGTAAACTGTTGCAGAAAGCGTTGCACCTTGGTGCGATTAGAGTTCCCCCCCCCCCAACTGCCAGCATGTGTTTCTCACATGCTTCAATTAGTTTTACTGTTTTGTTTTAGTTTTTGATTTATTTAGAATCAGATATGCTATTATTGATTCTATTGAGGAGAAAATGGTAAAAAATCATTTAAGATGGTTCGGACATATGCAAAGAAAGCTGTTGAGGCACCAGTTAGGATAACAGAAACAGTGACTAGTTTTCTAGAAAAACAATCAAGATAAAAGAACAGTGACGAATTGCTTTTATCAGTATTACCCTCCATCCATGGACCGTGACTTATATGGTCCATCATTGTCCCCTTTGAGTAACCTTGTTCTTCGTGACAAAGGTTGTGAGTTCTGTGTAGTGAGTGCAGCAGCTGTGGTGGTCGGTACTTCATCATCATTGTCTAGCATGGTGGAGCCAGCAGAGCTGTGCAATAGCAGTTCAAAGTCATATAAAAAATAAACAAATCACAGCTTGATGAGTATGGATTTAAACTGAGCTCTCAAAAAATTGATTAACTTTACATTTCCAGAAAGACCATTCATTTTTTTCATACAAAGAGAAAGAGATTCATGAACAGAGGTTAAGACATGTTCCTAAAGAAAAGCAAAATGTGTAGCCAAAGCATAGAGCCATCATCTCAAACATGTAGTAATTTTCCAAATCCCTCATCATAACTGACAGGGTCATGCACTCAATGAAAGCACAATCAAGATGCAAGAAAGAGGCCACAAAGGAAAGCTCATCACATAAGACATCTACAGGCATCAAGACGCAGCACTGAAAACGTAACTGCTCATGTTCAAAACAACAACATCTAAGTGCATCGAAAACAGTACATTGCAATAAAGCATTGCTACCCTTTGTTCATTCAGAGCCTTTGAACCCAATCAAACAGGAGCACCCTCGATTAGAAACATGTTTTCCATGTACATCAAAAGAAGAAAATGGAGAAAAGGAGAAAATAGGCTTCAATGAGAATACCATGCCATAACAAACAGGTACATAGAGCAACCAACAACTAAAATGCATTTTCAAAGCACATCTAAACAGCCTCATGCTCCATATTCAAGTGCCTCATAGCATGCTCAAAGTTAGAGAACATGGTGGAAAAGAGATACCTATATTCTCCTTTGTTGTATAAATGGGCATGCAAATCCTCCAAAACCTTATAAAAGAGGACTCCCCTTAACTTTGTTAACTCTGAACGAACATCTTGAAGTGCGCCAACCTGAGCCACATGTTGAAAATAAGTACCCCGCATAAAAAGCACGCCAAAATGCCTCCTTCACATTTAAAAAAAAAAGTGAAATAATGGACAATAGGGCAGTTAGTACTTGGAAGCTCACATTTTTTAGACTCCTTTTCTAACTCTTAATATACTGAAATCTATTAGGGGGGGGGGATAACCCAACATTTGTGTAACAACAATACAGACCTTTCATGTTTTGATTATCAAAAATAATTATTAGTAAAATAGAAAGAAAAGAAACACAAAGGAGCATAAAAATCTTCAACACAACAGAAAAAATTTATTCTGGGTTAGACATCACTTTTATAACCTATTAAAACAAGAGAAGAGTTCAGTCAAAAAAAAAAGAAAAGAGAAAAGAGAATACATGCACATGGGGGATAAGGAATCCTTGTAAAGGGGGGAAACTGCAGAAAAAAGTTGAAACTAAAATTTTGATAAAGCTATAACTCCGCTTCATCAGCAGACCAATTAAGAAATGCTCAAGCTGAGAAAAACGGATGCTACCATGAAGTTAAGAAATGAGTTAGATTAAAAATATTAAAATAAAGAGGGGAAAAAAAAAACACGCACACACACAAACACACGTGAAATAGTTTGGAGCATGTAGGTTCACTTTGAAGTGCCAACTGTATCTAATATGATTGTGCAACACATGTAGAACACAAACAGAACTCATTCATTATATTTTTGTGCTTCATAGGTTTCACCCTACAATGAGAAGTGATGACCATTAGAAACAAATCAAACAGGATAATGAGAAGAAGTTGAAATCCTACAGTTTGGAGACCTTCTCGTTCAAGCATCAACATTGACTGCAAATGCAATTGAACTGCAGCATAAAACTGCTTCTCCGCAATGAGCTTCTCTATACGAGCTGGAACCTGCACCAAATTTCACCAAAAAGTTAGATCTTCAGAATCAACATGCAGATGTCTTCAAACAGAATCGACCAGAAGTAAGCAGTAAAAGGGTGAGGCCCTACAAGGGTCAAGCACTTAGGGATCTTTGGACTTGAAGGAACTTTGTTTAAACCCCATCAGTTACAATCCCAATAAAGATTAAAATGCCAGAATTCTTCCATATTATTTGATTGGGCTTGAAGATATTTCAGCGATAACAATAGTTTAGTGGTACGCATGCAAATGTTTTTCTCCCTCATATTAAATTCACAATCTTGAATTCTTAACCTTCTAGGTCAAGTAGTTCTTTGACCCTATATTAAAAGATGGTTGGCGAAGGTCGTTAGTTCCTCGCTACGAACTCCAGCATAAAAGATCAAGCATAAACCGGAATATCTTAAAACAAAGGAAATGAGATTGCATGAATCCCACCAACTGACTAAACTTTTGCAGCTGAATCAAGAATTATCTTTCTTCACAACAGAAGAAAAATCTATAATCTGCAATTGTATTAAACCATAACACCAAAAGACAGACCTTAGCAATGCCTTCAATTTGATCTAACAAGGAGATTATGTGTCGCAGTGTCACTGACCGATACCATAACTGATGCAATTGCTTATTGCGTGCACTAAGCCGCTTCTTTGCCTCTGCTAAATCCAACTTTAAGACACCAATACTTTCAGTGGACTCACTGAACAGCCTCAAGATCTGCAGAGAAAGACAAGTAATCATAAAAAGCAAAATCACAGGGAGGGGCCAATCTTAAACTTTCTAATTTCAAAATTTTTTTGGAAAAGACTGAAACTATGGGAAATTCTAATCCTGCGGGAATAAATTTTGAAAACCAAAGGGAAGAAAAAGAAATGACAACACAAGAAAATCAAGCACAGATTTAAAAATCCAGTAGAACTGTACAATCATTTTCTATAACTAACAGAGAAAGAAACTCCCTTTGAAAAGATGAGCCAAACACCAAACAGAAGCCACAAACATAACGGCTGCTCAATGTGGCTATTTCACCCGAAGTTTGAGAGACGTATTTCAGTTCGTCTGTGGTAATTATGTAAATATAGTAATTATGTAAATAATTATATTTAGGAAGATATTAGGAGTATATGTTGGATACGATGGCAGAGAGTATCATGGGATAGTTCTTTCAAATCCCATAGTGATCATTGAGGATTTCCTCCTTGTAATCTATTTAACCTCTATTCCTCTGTGAATAATACCATCGCACTTTTAGCCCAATCAGCTCTACATGACTACATCGTCAAAGACAAATAGTCACTTTTTTCTGCAAGGTAAAGTGGCTTGGTGGCTTTGGAACAAGTTTTTTGGCATCTTGAACGAGAGTTGGATTTGTCCAGCTAATTTATAGGTGTTCAAGGCAGCAAGCTTTTGTAGCAGGATAGTGATGCATTTGGTTAAAACAGAATGCAAGATTTTGAATCAAACATTTATTCCTTCTCATCGTCTTTTCCAGGTAAGGATTAATTTCATGGCTTCCAAGTGGATATCAATGGATGGCTTTCTTAGGGGGATGTTCCTTATGAGGGATTGGAAAGCACTTCAGTTAGTGTTTTCCCCCTTTTTGACTGAGGCAGACCTCTTGCTTCTTTTTCATACTATTCTCTCTTCTCATCAATAAATTTTCTGCTGTCCAATAAACAAGGCATCAAAGGACAAGGAGACACAATTGTGAATATCATCATTTTGCTCCAATCAAAAATTTTAAATCACAACAAAAGCCAATAAATTCCAGTACTTAAACAATGGAATCAGGGAAAAATAATCATGGACATTGTACAAATTTAAATATAAAAATCAAAGTTAGGAACCACAAACAGTTTCAGTTATAGCTATTAAGATATTGCTAGTCAAAGAAGATTAAAGATAAATGCTTTTCATTCCATGCACATCTAACCACACCTTATCAATTTGAAGTTCATAAAAAACAAAGAACACCCTTCCAAGATCATTTCTTTTATCCCTTTTTTCAACTTGTCACTTTAAATCATATGAGAGGAATATTCTTAAGATTGTAACGAAGATATTACAAAACAGGAATTAACAAAAGACTACATTAAATGCTAAGAAACATAGTACGAAAAGGCAAGCATTAGTGTATTATAATTTGCAAATGTAGAAGAGGTGTGAAAAAATATAGAATGGGTTACAATAAGCAAATATATAAACAAAATGGCTAAAATGAAGCTGTTGTTGACAGATATATATATATATATATATCAATAATTCCCGGCCCTTCCCTCAACATCTTTAGCATTTGCACTGAAATCACTCTAATATGTTTTTAACAGCCTTCATGATCAAGCAATCAACAGTTCAATCTCCCCCATTCTTCTCATCAAATTTCAGTATAAGGAGAAATGAAATTGTGTTTTATCCTTGCTTCGTGCTTAAAGGATTTTCACATAAAGAAATGGAGAGAAATGGACCGAAAGGGCTAGAATTAGAAAGTATAGGTCGGTTTAGAGGCATGCGTCAAATGTCAAAACCATTTGTGGGCCTTCCCCTAACTGTTAAAATTTTTGATCAAAATGATTATTGACAGAGAACAAATACAAAACTGTAACTGCAATAATAAAAAAGGACTAAATAAATTATCAAATAGAGATGCCACAGGGACAACATTATACAGTGGAATGAGCAGCCACTATCAGGGGTCTAAACTAGCATAAAAACTGGAGAAAATTTATTTAAAAAAAAAAAAAGGAATCACCTGACTACACATATTTTGTACAGCCCAAGCATACAATGACATCCAGTGAAATCAAAACGAACAATCACATTGTTTTCAATGGAAAAGTGACAATTTTCAGAAACCTGGGAATAGTTTTGGATAGCTTTGTTGAAGCCACTGTGATACGAGTGTACTACTTCATCAACAACTTCTTCAATAACATCACTTTGCTCCTTCAAATATTGGACCTCGCCTTCACGATCTTTTGATGTCAAAATGTGGACAACATGAGGTAAAGAATCAAAACGAGCAGCTGCCCAAAGCTCATCAACTCTAGAAAGCTCTTCCCTCAAATACTGCACTCAAATGAAGCACATAGGTTCATTATTCAATATAGAATACATGGTGTGCATGACTATATAGGTGGTTAAAAAGTAGAAAGCCATTAATGAAAACTTCAGATACATGACTTCAGATTTATGTGTATTTGTAGTCAAAGCACTCTCAAAGGCTCACTATGTAAAACAATATACTACCTCCAGTCTCAAATATAAGAAAGTAAGATACTAGTACCTACCCCACACTGGTTAACAAGGTAGGTTCGGCTAATTAAATTTGTAGCAAAACATATTTTTTTCCAAATTTGCTCTCAATTAATAGTTGACATTTCTCATTATGAATCTCAGATTTCTCTCTCGTACTTTATTTAATAAGGGGCATTTGAGGGGAAAAAATAATTTAAAGACCCAGGAAGCGTCTTATATTTTGGACTACCAAAACACCCCAACAAATGTCTTGCGTTTAAGACCGGATGCAGTACTGAATTTAGATTGCACTAAAAGAATGCAATTTCAGGCACTATCTGTATGGATACATTTCCATATGTTAGACCATATAAATGCAGCAATTCCCCAATGAAGGAAATTATTCAGTAATGTATCATAACATGATTGATTGCTATAACATCAAAAGAAATAACACTCTGCGGCCTGCAAACATACAACAGTCATTAGAATTAACCATAGAGTAACCCAGCCCAAACAAACAACTAGACCTTGAAAGACCACATATTTCAAATGGATTTCTTAATAAGAAGCCTATCACTATAAGAGAATAAGGAACAAATTGAAACATGGGCTAATAAGAGTAGACACCAGATGAATTAAATATCCAAATTCTCCTATCCATTATTAGAGGAAGATGAGTGGAGCCTAAGAGAAGCTCAGGCAATTTAAGGTCCGAAGCAATCTTCTTGCTAGGGTTCCAAAGAAAGTGAAAGTTGCAAGCTATATTTAAATCTAGAATATAAAGGAGGCAACCCCACCCAGAAAACTCCAAAAATCTTACAAGAAGACCAATTCCCAATCTCAAAGAAATTAGTAGAAGGAATGTATCATCACCCAAAGAAATAAATTTCCATGCCTATATAAGATGCAGAGAGCATCAAGTAGGCATCCAACTTATTTTATGTAAATCATACTCATTATAAATTACCTTCTGCTATTAGGGAACAAATTCTCAAGAGCAGATTTGGAAAATAGTTTTACTGGCATTTACTTCTCCTTTTTTCAAGCAGAGGTTGATGAGGAAAATGTTGATTAATTCCATTAAATTTATTTATCATCTAAATTATACCTTTTAATTGGTACCAATCATTTTTGTCCTATAAGTATTAGAATTTTCCATGTACCAAAGCACATCAACAGAAAATAAGGAAAGGGGAACATGAATAAGTTCTGAAAATTAGCTGATAGAATTGAATTTAAATAGTAGCACATTGTTAGAAAGCCCCTGATTATCTCCCTTGATTCTCTCCATTAATTGCCCATGATATTAGCTAGAAGATATATTTCCTGATTTATTGAGATATTGCAATATATGTAATTTATGACTGATTGATTGTAACCGGATATTATTTCTCATCCGGACTCTATATATTGTAACCCAATCATATGGAATAAGATATGAGCATGAAATATTCAGCAAAATAAACATGGTATCAGAGCGTAGGGTTCCTCCTGAACCCAGAAAACTTCGTGCGTTGCTGCCGTGAGATAGAGAGAGAGAACGCGAGGAGAGAGAGAGAGAGAGTGAGGCGTCCCAGATCTGAAGCCAGGAGCAGACCGTGGACGACACCGCCCCTCCAGTCCTCACCGGCGCCCTCAGATCGGCGCATCCCTTGAAGACGACGTCGAACGGAGCTGCGCGTGAAGCCCACGCGCCGTCACAAGCTCCGCGCGTGAAGCCCACGCGCCGTCACTGCCTCTGCGCGTGAATTGCACGCGCCGCCGCCGGAAAACCAACAGTGCCTCCCAGAGATCCAGAAAATGAACCCATCAGAATTGCCACCCCTTTTTGGGTCCGTTCGTAATATTCCAATGGCCCTTATGTCCGGTACATCCTCAAATACTCAAAGCACTCCTCTTCACCTTTAGTCACCTCTCAAGCCTCTGATCCAGAACCATCCCTAACCTCTGAACATCAAGCTATGGTGGTGGCTCACAAACTTAATGGTAGCAACTATCTCCAATGGTCTCAAAGTGTATTAATGTATCTACGTGGGAAGCGTAAGGAGAAATATATCAATGGAGAGGCAAAACAACCTTCACATAATGATCCCAAATTTGACACCTGGTTTGCTGAAAATAATCAGGTGATGTCTTGGCTGTGCAACTCAATGACTCTTGAAATCAGTGAAGGATACCTCTTGGCAAGCACAGCTAAGGAAATCTGGGACGCTGCTAAGAGGACTTACTCCACACTAGACAACACTGCAGCCCTATTGGATCTAAGGAGGCAGCTCAAAGATCTGAAGCAAGGAAACTTAACTGTAACACAATATTACAGCACTTTAACGAAGATATGGCAGCAGTTGGATCTCTTTGAAGTTCATCCTTGGAAGGACATGGATGATGCTAATTACTACAGACAACTGGTGGAAAAAGGACGAACCTATGACTTCCTATTGGGTTTGAATGATGTCTTTGAAGAAGTAAGAGGCAGAATTATGGGTCTAAAACCGCTTCCCTCCCTATTTGAAGTCTTCAGTATGGTCAAGTTTGAAGAAAGCCGGAGACACCTCACTCAGGGTAACCAAACCCCAGTAGATGGCTCAGCATTAGTCACGAGGAGGTCCCCAACATTCGAGGGATCTGAGAAGAAAGGGAACAAGTGGTGCAATCACTGTAACAAGAAAGGCCACACCAGAGACGAATGTTGGAAACTACATGGGAAACCAACCCAAGGGAAGCAGAAACAACGGGAAGATAGAAAAAGCCACCACACCTCCTCTGAAGAAAAAGGTGATGAGGGAGACCAGTTGACCAGAGAAGAGCTTCAAATGCTTCGTAAGATACTTGAAAAACAAAACAAATCAAAATCTGTTCCCAACGTGAACTTGATCCAGTCAGGTAATTCTATTATAGCCCTTAATGCAATGGTAACTAGTGATGAAACCTGGATTGTTGACTCCGGTGCTACAGACCACATGACTGGTAATAAGTCCTTCTTCAAAACCCTCAAATATTGCCATGAGAACCTTAGGGTAAAAGTAGCAACTGGACTATATACTAAAGTTGAGGGTGTTGGCATTGTGGCCCTATCTGATGATCTGGAAATCCATAATGTTTTGTTTGTTCCTGCTCTTACCTGCAACCTTATATCTGTGAGCAAATTGACTAAAGGACAAGTATGTCGGGTAATCTTTGATGATGTTAAGTGTGTTTTTCAGGATTCGACCTCGGGGAGGAAGATTTTGACTGCTAAAGAATGGGATGGACTCTACTACTTTGAAGGAAAAGATATGAAGACTGCAGGAGCAAAGAAAGCTATGGTTAGCTCTAATTCTCAGAATAAAAATGTAATGTTGTGGCATCAAAGATTAGGCCACCCCAGCTTTGATTATATGAAGCATGTGTTTCCAACTTTATTCAATAAAAATTCTTTTCCTTTCCAATGTGAAACGTGTCAAATTGCCAAACAAACTCGCGCCTCTTATCCCAAACATACTTACAAACCTACTGCCCCGTTTACATTGATTCATACTGACATTTGGGGACCAGCCAAAATCAACACCCGAACAGGCACAAAGTGGTTTATTACATTCATCGATGATCACACCCGGGTCACATGGGTTTACCTTATGAAAGAAAAATCCGAAGCTTTACAAATTTTCAAAAACTTTCACTCTTTTGTGAGAACCCAATTCCAAACTCCCATCAAAGTTCTGAGAAGTGACAATGCCAAAGAGTATGTGAGTGGAGCCTTTAGGGAATTTCTTGAGCAGGAAGGAATCCATCACCAAACCTCATGTGTCTATACTCCTCAACAAAATGGAGTTGCTGAGCGGAAAAATAGGCATCTTCTAGAAGTAACCCGAGCTATTATGATGGAAAGAAATGTTCCAAGTCTGTTTTGGGGAGATGCTGTGCTAACCGCTGCTTATCTCATCAATCGAATGACCTCAAAAATTCTCCATTTCACTACCCCCATTCAAAAACTCCTCGAGACCTACCCCACCTCACCTATCATCAATACCATCCCTCAAAAGGTCTTTGGGTGTGTCGTCTTTGTTCATAAACATGATGGGGGCAAACTTGATGCTAGAGCAGAAAAATGTATTTTCCTCGGGTATTCCTCCACCAAAAAGGGGTATAAGTGTTATTGTCCCACTACCAGAAAACTCATAATCTCCAAAGACACAGTTTTTTATGAGGATGATGCTTATTATCCCAAATTACCCATTCAGGGGGAGCACTATGGAGTAGAATGGCTAATTACACCTGAACCTATGACCAATCCCAACACACATCTTACCACCCCTCTTGAACCTGCCATACCACAAGAAGAAATCACTGTCCCTGAACCGGAACCAAAAACCCCTAGTCCTACACCTCCACTAGAGCACCAAAACCCCACAAACACTCCTCACCCGACTCACCCAATGGAAACGAATGCTGAAATTGATGCAGGGGTGACAGAGCGTTCAAGTCCTCAATCAGGTGAGCAGGATAGTAGTAGTAGGGTTCCTTCCATTCCAAGGCAGCAACATGATTCCAATCCAGAGTTGGATCCTGAAGAGCTAGGATGGCCCATTGCACTTAGAAAGGGGGTAAGATCATGTACTCAGCATCCTATTCAAAAATTTGTCTCCTATGGCAATTTATCTGCTAGAATGCAAACCTTTGTGGTGAATAGCTCACAGGTGAAGATTCCAGAAACATTTCAACAGGCTATGAAAGATCTTAATTGGAAACGTGCCGCATATGAGGAGTTGAGAGCCTTAAAGGAAAATAACACGTGGGATATTACCACACTTCCTAAGGGCAAGAAAGCAGTGGGTTGCAGGTGGATCTTCACCCCTAAATTCAATCCTGATGGAAGTATCAACAAGTACAAAGGAAGATTAGTTGCAAAAGGGTACACCCAGACTTATGGGATTGATTATCAAGAAACGTTTGCTCCTGTGGCAAAGTTCAACACCATCCAGGTACTCCTGTCTCTAGCTGCTAACCTTGATTGGTCTCTACATCAACTAGATGTGAAGAATGCTTTCCTAAATGGAGATTTGGAGGAGGAAGTGTACATGGAAATCCCAGATGGAGTAATAGCTCCACCCAACTCAGTTTGCAAACTGAAGAAATCACTATATGGCCTGAAACAGTCTCCACGAGCGTGGTTCGACAGGTTTGCCAAGGCAATCAAAAGGTTTGGCTACGTCCAAGGACAAGCTGATCACACTCTCTTCGTTAAACACAGTAATGGAAAGGTAACGATCCTAATTGTGTATGTGGATGATATAGTCATAACTGGCAGTGATGAAGTTTCTATCTCCCAACTCAAGAAAGCTCTAGCTAGGGAATTCCAAGTGAAGGACCTAGGACAAATGAAGTACTTTCTTGGAATGGAGGTTGCTAGATCCAAAAAGGGTATAAGTGTGTCTCAACGAAAGTACACACTTGATTTGCTCCACGAAACAGGAATACTTGGGGCTAAACCTAGTGAGACGCCTATGGAAGAATCATGTAATCTGGAAGTGAAACCAGACGGGGTACCAGTCAACTCAGAAAGGTACAGAAGACTTGTAGGTAAACTGATCTACTTGACTCATACAAGGCCTGACATTAGCTATGCTGTTGGAGTAGTAAGCCAATTTATGCATCAACCCCAGGAAGAACATATGGAAGCAGTATACAGAATCCTGACCTACCTCAAACTCAATCCTGGAAGAGGAATATTCTTTAAAAAGGGGAGTACAAGGAACATAGAGGTCTACACTGATGCAGATCATGGGAGAGCTGTGGATAACAGAAGATCTGTCACAGGATACTGCACTTATGTTTGGGGAAACCTAGTCACTTGGCGAAGCAAGAAACAGACAGTAGTCTCAAGGAGTAGTGCTGAAGCTGAGCTAAGAGCTGTAGCCCTGGGGGTATGTGAAGGAATGTGGGTGATCAGACTTCTGAAGGAATTGAGAATTTCCTATGAAGGACCTATGAACCTCTGGTGTGACAACCAAGCCAGCATTGAAATGACCAAGAATCCTGTGTATCATGACCGAACAAAGCATGTTGACATTGATCGGCACTTCATCAAAGAAAAGGTTGAAGATGGCACAATTAACCTGAGCTATGTGCGCTCAACTGATCAGATTGCTGACGTCATGACCAAACCTTTAGCCAGAGTCAAGTTTGAAGGGCTTCGAAGCAAGCTGGGAATGGTTGACATTTACTCTCCAGCTTGAGGGGGAGTGTTAGAAAGCCCCTGATTATCTCCCTTGATTCTCTCCATTAATTGCCCATGATATTAGCTAGAAGATATATTTCCTGATTTATTGAGATATTGCAATATATGTAATTTATGACTGATTGATTGTAACCGGATATTATTTCTCATCCGGACTTTATATATTGTAACCCAATCATATGGAATAAGATATGAGCATGAAATATTCAGCAAAATAAACACACATATTTTACAGATTACAACTCCTGAAGTAAAAGGCCACCAGGAATGAGCGTTAGTCCCCAAAGCTAGCGTGTTAAATAACAGCCCAGAGGGTCCGCAACCCGTATACAGATAATGTAAGCAAGTGATTGCATCAAACGCAAGGCATAAAGAAAGAAAAATAACAAGATGATACATTTGAAGTATCTGCATCTACAATGACCCTTCTGATGAAACAAGATGATACATGCTAACAAAGTAACAATAGAAACATCAAGCCAAAAATTATTCTGCCACCTACCTCGGAACATAAGTTACTTTGTTTACACAGAAGGAACTCGCAAGAAAAGAGAAATTTCACTCGACACTCAATAATCACTCAGCTGCAAACATAAAAGATCTATAGAAGGAACCACTGTCAATGAATCCCGCCAGCAAGAAGGCTGTGAACCCCCCAAAATACTAATATCAAAAGTAACAAAGTAAAGCTTACTTCTTTCTCTGGAGGAACTGGCAATTCATCAAAAAGTCCCATCTTGAGCCTTCAACGTCTCCAGACACCATAAAGATTAACTCATGCTAGCAAATCTAGAATCCCAACTGCATTGAAAAATACACGAATATTCAGCTACTCTTAGTGAAATAAAGAATTTAATTAAGAATCCCAGGTGCGCCAAAAAGAAAGGCACTGCATATTTTCACCACTAAAGAATTCAATTATATGTATGTTTATGTAATATGCGCCTCCGGTTTAAAATTGCAATGGTAGATGATACCAAATACAGTAATTCAAATCTATATCCCTTCCACTTGTTAAAACGGTTAAGTCACCAACCAAAGAGTAATTTGGCCAGAAAAGAAAAGCAATGCAAAGATTCAAAAGAATACCTCCCAAGTCCAGCTCCAACTGCAGCGAAGTGTTATTTTCTTGAAATAAAATTACTTCAATAACCTGGAACAAACAGCATCAAGAGATTATTAAAGAAAGAACAGAAAATCGTTTCCAATTAAAACATGTAAAAAAAAAAAAAAAAAAAGAACTTGATTAGATTCTTGAACACATCAGAATACCTATTACGCGACATACAACAGAATCATCATTCTCTTACGTATTGTTGCCACATTTCATTATCAGATTAAGGGTCTTTTCCAAGTATCTTTTCAAACAAAAGATGCGAATAGGCAAGAATTTCATCAGTTAATTTTTCACAATCATTTGCGTCCAATAAACTTAACTTTACAAATTTCGGTTTTCTAATAACATTACTATCAGCAGTTGCATGCATAATAATTTATTCATTCTCATATTTAGCTTCTGATAAAACCTGATACGGTGAATCGAAGATTCCAACAATCAATGTATAATTACGGAATCCTGCCAAAGGGGCCAAAAATCTTCTCTGCTATCAAAAGCAGAGATAAATCCATGTTAATTCTTCATGCGTATACTTAGTTGAGGTCTATGGTAATTTAGTTCATTCCCTACAGTTCCTCCCCTGCCCAGCATAATATGCCACAAAACTGCTTCCTATGCGCCCCCTCTCATAATTCCCGATAATTCCATAGGCATTTGACAATTCACAACCTACACAGATAAAAAATTCAATATACATTGCACTTCAAAGATCACGAGAATTTTACTTCATATCCGGATTCATTTAAAGACGCTCCTTTTATTATCCACGTCAAATCAAACAATTGATTGCGTTAATCAAATACATTTATACAGCAAATGTAATCTTACTCGTGCAAGGAAGCTGGATGGAGCCGAAACTCAAAAACCCAATGCCACCGTCGTTGCCCACTGTGAAAGCAGTGCGTAAATGGCGGCGAATGAAGAAAATTGTGGGTTTGAGGGTGGCACGCGCAGCAGAATCGGAATTCACAGTGGGCCAAGTGAAGTTGGCGATGGAAGTGAGATGCAACGGAGGGTGGTGAGGATTTCAGAGACACGGTTAACGACGGCCTGAGCACAGATGGGCGTCGCAGCGGAGGGCGTGAGCGCGTGAGGAAGGAATACGAGAGCTCGATTAAAGCTGCCCAAATCTGAATTGACTGGGAATTAAACATTGAAAGGAGACTGACCCTCGAAAATGTTAAGCGCGTGTATTGGATCGAAAAGTCTCAATAAAAAAATCAAAACTAGGGGAAATTTTAATAATAAAAAATCTCCAAAATTCTGAAATTAAGCCCTTATAGTCCTTTTTTCCCAAAACAAAAAGCGCCATTATCTAAATGATGCCCGTAATTTTTTTGAGAAAAAATTATTAATATATTCATGGGAGTAAACTGTTTAACCTGACAGTTCGTGGAACAATTATGACTAGGGATAAAGGTTAATTACTTAATTTTTTTTTAACTGCGGAAAAAGCTATATAGATCATATTTAAATTTAAGGGTTTTATGCTCATTTAGATATATTTTTAAGGTGGAAGTATTATAAAAACATGATTAGAAAAAGTTCACGCATTATAACTTGAAACTACAATTTAAAACATTTTTCCTTACAATTTTATAAATTTTACATTATATTTTATTTTTATTTGGTATTTTTGATAATTGGCCAAAAAGCTTGTTTCATATGAATATTTGATAATTTCTTTTTTTTTTTTTAAAAAAAGCACAAGCTACTGATTGGGGGGAGATCCAACTCGTATATCTGTGGGCACAAAAGGCGCCAAGAGGCTGTAGGCGAATATATGATGATTGGCTTTTTTATTGCTAGTGATTGTTTAATCAATTCATAAGTACGCTCATTTTTTTTCATGATTATGATTTTAACTAATGAGCATTTTTTCCTATAAGATACATTTTATGAGTTACTAATAGCTTAACTTGTTATAAATTTGTTGGAAAAAATTGTTATAAATTTTAGTATCATGCGTTTATATTAAATTGTAAATTGATTTATTGGCAGAGAAAAAAAAAGATTGTAAATTGATTTATTTTTTCCGATATGATTGACGATTTTCCCTAAAAAGTTTTGATTTTAGACAACATACAATTACTCACGAGTCACAAGAAGTCGCTACTGGCCGTTTGTCGTAAATATTGTTCTTGCGTGAGCACATTTTATCCAAATTAAAAAAATCTTAAATTCTATTAATTCAAATTTAAATTTCACTAATATTTTAATTTTACATTTATTTAATTAACAAGTTAAGGTATAAATTTATCACGAAAGTTTTTATTCAAAAACGTCAGTCACTAGAAAGGCTTTTTGGATACCAATTTGCCTACAAAGCTTAAATTCATATAAATGTTACCTGCTAACATTAAAAAGGTTGAGGATTGTTTGTCTTTTATCATTAAAAAACCAACAATGTCGTTATTAAAATAGTAATGTTAATTATTAATATTTTAGTGGTAGTGGTTAATATTGATACAAATTTAAATTTTTGAGGCAAATTTGCACCAAAAAAAATTTAGGTGTCCAATGCTGTAAGTAAAAATCTATGAAACAAATTTTCAGGTTAAATTTTATTTAATTTATATATATTATAAGAGAATAACAGTGGATATAATAATAGACTAGAGGTTGGGAAAAAATAATAGACAGGAAATAAAATTGAATATTCATATAATAAAATGCCTGATATCAGGGGGTGAAAATACTCCACCTGTGTAAGTAATTACGGCTCATGATAGATAGCCCAAAAAATAAATAATTACAGCTCATGAACCCTTTTGCCCCAACGTACGGCCATTCGTGCTAGCCGTTGGTCATAATTGCAACACTCGATGAGTTTCAGTCTTTTTCCTGGGTTAATGGTCATGTTTGGCATAATAAACAGTTACTTGATATTATATTTTATATAAATCGAGATAAAATTTTTTACATACTTATCTTATATTTTATAAGTCATAATTAAAAAATTATTTATAACTACGAACAAAACAAAATCATAAGCGTTAGATTGTTATTTACAACTCCGAAATCATCATGGACCTTTGGTCATGAATTTAATTTGGGATCGTATATTTTGGCCCCAGAAAAAAAATTGGGATCATATGTTAGATTTGATCGATTGATTTTTCCTTAATTGCATTAATGATGATTGATCTTTTCCCCAAAATTGGCTGATTGATGACCAGTTGAGCTGAGCACGCTCCCATATTTTTTTCTCGCTGTTGTTCTTCTTTAATGCTACATCCAATCTTTTAATATAAGAACTAATTAACCAATTTGAGTAAATTAAAAAAATTTATTAAGTTAGTTACTTATAATAAATATTTGTTATTTTTTCTAGAATACCTTTATTAATCATATATATTAGTTAGAATTACCATGTAATGAAATATTTAACATGTGCAGCTACTATAAAAACTATTTTTAAAAAAATAAATAAATACGAGAAACAAAATAGATTAGCGTATTATATTTAGAATCAAATTACATGTCAAAATAATTCTTATATCAAGGACTAGAGATAGTAATTAAGGAACATAATAGAATTAAGGGATGAAGTTTACTATCAACAGACTCTTGGTTAAGATGGTAAGCAGCATCATATTGTAAGAAGAAAAATATAAATTTGAATCTTGAAAAGTGTACTTATTGGAAGAATTTTAACATTAATGTTTTTGACCCTACAGAGATCAATTTCAAATCAAAGTGACTTGAGAATACTTTGAGTTATACAAAAAAAAATGATGAAATTCACATATCCCCGTTGTATCCCATTTCTAAAATATAAAATAGGGAGAAAATAATTATCAATGAATCTCAATACCAAATGAATAGTTGTCATTACGTAGTCTATAACTTATCACTGTAAACTGCTACGTTGTTATTAAGATTTTTTTAGTGATTACTTTTCATACTTGAGACTTTATATGAAGAATATTTTATCTCTTGTAGGTGTTTTCTGTGAGGATGTTCTTTCTTCTTTCAATTGATTTATTTTTCCCATCATTTTTTTTGTGTATCCTTGAATGATCGCCCTTCCTTTGAATTAGGTGCATTCCTCAATTTAACATATAACTTTTGGTCTGTCAACACTGTTAGCCTCTCGAAACAAAACAAAACTAAAAGATGTAATTAAAAAAAAAACAAATTGAAAACTTATTGAAAAAATATAAGTACATACGAAATGATTTTTCATATAATTTTTTTAGCCACCATACTTCTCATGTGCTATTAGTAGCCGTTTTGTTAAAATTCATCATATATTAGATATTTATTGATTATTGATTGATATCTTCTTATAACCTTTTCCACCAAAAAAAAAGTAAAAAATTGTTTAATTTAGAAAAATTTCAGGAAAAATACTCTGAAGTTATCATTTTTCAGTTCAGGTACTTAAAAAGAAGGAAGTACTGCTTAATTTAATATTTTACAAATATAGTTAAATAACTAAAATATCTTTATATCAGACTTAAAAAAAAGCTATTAAATAAATATTATGACTCGGGTTAATAAAAAAATACGCTAGATAAGTACAGCTCATGAGGTTTTTGACGAACAAACAGTTTACAAATTTCTTTGCTTTTTTTTTGCCAACATACAGCTCATGAACTATTACTAGTTGTGTGATAAAGCATTATGTTAGTTTATAACTTGTTAATAAATTTTTTTTATAAGAGCATTTTAGTTGTTTAACCATTATTTGCAAAATATAAGAGCAGACACCATTTTTTTAATTGGGATTTTGAAGCGTTAGGTATCTGATTTGGAATATTACATTTTTCAATTTTTTTATTTGTCATTTTCCCTTTAATTTATGATCACTTGTTTTTACCATTGACTTTCTCAACAAAAAGAACAAAAATTAAAATACTAGATATTAGCTTCGATCCTTAATATAAGAATTAGCCGAGTAATTAGAATATATTAAAAAAATTAGTTAAGTTAATTATTTATAATAAATAGGTATTATTTTTATTATAAAATATTCTTACTATTCAAATATATTGGTTAGAACTACTATTATTGCAAATACTACCTTTGGAAAAAAATAGATAAATATGAGGGACAAAGTGAATTGATGTTTTATATTTATGATCAAAATAAAAGTTAAACTAACTCTTATATTAAAGACCAGAAGTAGTAATTATTATGACCCGGATTAATTAAAAATACACTACAAATTACAGCTCATGAGTTTTTTTTGATCAACACAGGTTACAAATTTCTTTTCTTTTTTTTTTTTTGGGGCCAACATACAGCTAATAAATTGTTACTAATTGTTTGTCATAAATTATCATAGATTATATGCTTGTTGATTGATTTCTCCCCTTAAACTTTTTTATCTCAAAAATTAATTGATTCGTGAGCGCGCACTCATAATTTTGCCACTGGTTTGCCCAGTTAAAAAACAGAGCAAAATTTTAAATGTGAGATAATTATTATTACTCAGCTAAAATAAATAGGATAATACTTATATCAAATTCTTTATATTTATTATATGTCAAGTTCTTTAACCATACATAACAATGTGTTCTATTTTTAAAATATTAACATTTAATAGTATTTAATTATTCACTCATATGAAACAAAAAATAGTTATGGCCACGTTGGTTTAAAGAACTTGATATAATATACATAAATAATTGCTTAATTTTTTTCAAATAAAAAATATGCTAGTTAATTACAGTTCATGAGTTTCCTTTTTTTTAAGGTATGATCCAGTCCATGAATTATTATTAACCGTTTATCATAAATAAACATAAATTATATATTGATTGATTATTATTTTTTCCCTTCAACTATTCTCCAAAAAAATTGATTGATCGCACTCCCATATTGTTACCTAGGTCTAACCAAAAATACTGTTAGATGATTACAGCTCATGAATTTCTTTCTTTTCTTAACCAGCGTAACACACGGCTCATCGCAAGTTTTTTGTGCCAAGAAACAGCTCGTGATCTATTATTAGTAGTTTTTGTCATAAATCATCATAGATCAATAGATTATATATTTATTGATGATTGATTTTTTTTTTTACTCTTAAACTATTCTCCGGAAAAAATTGATTGATTCTTGAGTAATTCTCATACGAATTGGTTTCCGTAATAAAAATAAACAGAATAAAAATTTAATGTTAGATAATTATTATTTGGATCAAACAA